AACAAACAAAACCAAAATCCTAAAACAGTGGGAAAAAAAGCCTTTATAATTGTGGTGTTATCTAAATTATTGATTGTTTTAAACTTTGTTGAGGATTTAATGTAGATTGGACAAATGACATTTGTGTATGTGCATCCATTTTGATTGTTTTTGTCAGAATAAAGGCTTGTATGATCTAATTCAGACTGCGTATTAAAGAGAGATGAGCTCACTTGTCCTGTTCAGAACATGGCTGAAAGCTCTGCCTAAAAGAATCTATGTAGGAAATGGAAAAAAAAAATAATCTACTTGTCTTCAAAACAGTGTAGTTGGTCTGAGAGCTGAGATGATGCCAGTAGGAAACAGATTTAAGCCAAGTTTGAACAGTTCTGTTATCCAACTTTCCTATTGCACTAAAATTTAATTTGTAATAAAGGAAAGTTTGCTTAATTTCAGAACCTCCGGGGTAGCTGATAACTTAAATGGACAAGACTCCACGTTTCTGTGAGAAACTATGGAGTATTTAAGAATTTGTGTTACAACAGGAGGCATACTAGAAAAACAGGGGTGAAGCTAACCTAAAAATAATAGTAATAATAATAATAGTAGTAGTAGTAATAAAAAAAATAATATGCATTTTTGCCTCTGTGAAGTTTCATGAGATTCTACTAAAGAGATGTATGTGGTGAATTTCCTGGCAAAGAATTTTAAATATTTTAAAAATTTTTGCTATGATTATTTACAAACTAAATTAAATTATTCAATTTTAAATAGGCTCCATCTAGTCCTTCTTTCGGTTCTCCTCTAATTTGGATTTGCTTCAAATTCTACACAAAGGAAATGGTATTTGTAAAATGTTCTGGTTGGGCTGGTATTTGAAGTACTTTGTTTTCATGTTAGAATATTTATTCTTTTATAAATCTTTGCTAAATTATTTCATACTTTTGATCTTTTTGGTAAAAAAAGTTTGAACTCGATTATGAAGCAAAAAGTTTACATTTTAAAACATCACCTCTTTCAAGAAAATTATATAAATATGTTCTACTTGTAGGATTAAAAAATAATTAATGGAGTTACAAGCTGTGGAGGGACCCAGCTCTAAGTCCACCTTAATAACAGTTAAACAGGAAATGCAGATGGATAGCACAGTAATAGCAACCCAGATTTTCTGAAAATAAATTTTATGTCTGCAGTGCACAAATAATTATGTGATTGTAATGAAGGGAGGGAAAAAAGAGGAATTTTTAAAACAACTATAGAAGCAAGGCTTGGGCTTTTTGCCTTTAAAACAACACAAGTGAAAGCTGCACAGAAATAGAGAGATGCAGTTGTCACAGGGCCCAATGATAATTAGTCCTGCTTACACCTTCTGGGCAAAGCCGGGTTATGGTGCTGGGCTGTGCACTCTGGTGGTCTGGGGTGGGCACAAGTTCTGTTCATCCACACTTGTAAAAATGGGAGAGAAGAGGATGGAATTTGTCTCTTTGGATGCTGTTCCTTAATCCACTTCTGAGCATAGGCTTGAAACCCTTGAAAAGATGTAACCTCAAGCTGGGGAACAGAATATGCTCTGACGGGGAAGGCTCAGAATCCCCACGCAGATTCTTAAACCTTCTTCAGTTGGGTAGGATTGTCTACAGATTGGAGTTAAAGCCCACTGAGATCTGGGAGACTGTTCTGTGAAATGGGATGTTTTAGAGACTTTTCCAGTAAGCCTCTGAAATGATCCACTAAGCATGTACAAATAACAACTTTCAAAGACTTTAAGCACAGCCAAAGCAGAATAAAAGACAAATCTGTCTTGCCAGGTTTCAGGTTTTTGCTCAGAAGCTGGGAATAATGCAAATCTTCTTCAAACAGTCAAGAGATAATTAAAACTTATTCTTATCCAATCCACTCCCTGAAAAAATGCATCTTTTAATAAAATGTATAATTTTACTTAATATTCTAAAAATAACAGTTTGAGATATTGCAGGAGGGATAAAACTAAAGCTCAGTTATGTGCGTGGCAGAGAAACAAAATATGTAAATTAAAATTGTACAGTGTAATTTTATAAGCACCTTTAACAATAAACTTTATTCCACCTAAACTGGAACACACTGCATTTACTAGAAAGCAGTCTTTAATAAATAGCTGCATAAACTCAGAAGTATTAATTACTTCTTCAGAGATTTCTTTTAAACGTTTTTTAGTGCAGGAAAGCACATACTGAACCTGAACCTGCTTCTGATTAAGTCAGTGAAAGCAGGACTCTGATAAACATTTCGTTTGACAAAATGAATTCAAGATGTTGGAATTATTTTGTCCATTTTACTAAGCATTTTTCCTGAATCCTGCATTCACTGGAAGATAAGATTTTACTAAGTCTGTTACATCTTCCTCAGAAGTCTTTAGGCTAAAGGTAAACTAAATATATCCAGAAAAGTGAATTGAATGATATGTGTTACACAGAAGGCAACATGTGCACTTCTGTAAATAAATCACATAGGGATATATTAAAGTAATCCCTGTACTTGTTCACACAGGATGGAGCACCCAGGATAATACAATGTATACACATGGTTTTGTGAAAATTTTATTGGTTTGGATATCCTTTTTATTCTGAGTAGACTACCATTAAGTACAAGATGTCTTTTACTCCAGCAGAAAAAAATGTCTATTTGTGAAGGCACTATTTAAAAATGCTTTTAGTTAATTAACTTGCCATATCTGTGGATGGGATGTCATTTTTGTTACAGAAAATAAATTAGGGTGAAAAAAATATTTCTCTGCACAGAAGCTTTCATGCTTGTTTGGAACAAAAAGTATTCATTTTACAAAATTTGATTGTTTATATTCTTTGCCAAGAAAATGAGAGTTAGTGGACCTAGTTTTCTGATGAAAAGAAGATCTGATTTGATTAAGAAAAACTGATTCATTTGACTGTGAAAAGTGCTTAAAATGGATACTTAAAAACACTAGGTAGGTGAACCAGTGATTTTGCTTCTAAAATGCTGCTGAAGTATTTGCATCTTTGGCAATGATGTATGCCCATCTGAAAAGAAATTGTGGTAACTTACATGCAAAACAAGGGGAAAAAAACACGTGTGAACTTTCTAAGCTGGAGCTGCCCATTAGGTATCTGTGTGCTGATCATACTTCAACAGGAAATCATGATGTTTAAAACTGCTGAGTGAACACGTGGGGAGCATTACGCTGTGTATGCAATGAAACATGCATTGTTTATTTTGTGTAGCATTCTTCTGCTACCTTAAATACATACAAGATGGAAACCCATAGACTTTTTTTAACCTTTAGCTGCTATACTTGTACAGAAACCGCTAAACAAAACCTGGCAGACTTGTAAACAAAGTGCATTCATTTTATTTTATCTAACACTGATCACATTTCCAGTAGACAACAAATAAAATGCATTGCTGACAGAGATGTAGAAATGTATATACAATTAGATGAAGAAATTGTGTTCAATGCAGTTCAAATCTCAGCTTGTGTCTTTTCATTTCCTTGAATATGGCTGTAAAATCCTTACCTGCTGGTGCATGGCCAGCAGCAATACCAGTTTTTCCCTGCTCATCCACAGTGCTGCTGGGCAGGCTATCCTACCAATGACTTAGCCAGAGCATCTCATTGTTGACTTTTAGTCCTTTACTTGAGTAAATGGGATTCTTTGCTTCATGTGGCTTTGGGTAAAGCTTCCATTTATTTTCTCAGTTGAGATATAGTATTTCCTACATTTTCTCAAATATATTCAAGACATGAAAGCTCTGTCTTGGGTTAAATTAATGTAATGCGAGGGATTAAATCATCCAGGAGATCAGCAGAATTTGGAGTATAAAAGCCAGATAATTTCATTTTCTGGAGGGGAAAAAATCCAGTTTCAGCCAGCAGACCCATATTTGATGGAAAGGTAGTGGGGTTTTGTTTGTTTTTCTACAGAGCAGGATCTGTGGAGCACAGAAGATAGGCAGTTTCAAAGTGAAACTTGAAATAAATTCAAGTTAATACTCAAGTAAATTTACTTGAGGCAAATCATTAAGGGCAATACTCAATAAGATGTTGGGTATTGCCCTTAATGATTTGCCATTGATTGTCCTGGTCAGAATATGAATACCTGGGAGCTGTGGTTACCCAACCATTCCAATTGTTCATCTCTTTCCTCTCCATCTCGGCCTTCTACCATGTAATAGGGCTTTCACATCCTCTGTAAGTCAATCTTTCTGTTGGCTTTTGGAGTACAGATATGGTAAATCATTCTCTTGTTACACATGGGCTGGCAACTTTGCACATATATAGGAAAATTGTTTCTCTGGGGGAAAAAAATCTGTGTAATTAATATATAAATGAAGAAGGAGTGGGCGAGCACAGACTGCAAATTGGATTGCAATTACCGGTCTAACAAGAAGTGTTCCGTGTCTGCTCTGTCTTTGTCTGAGAAAGGCAGATCTGTTGTCACTGCATGAAAGCCATCTACAGGCCCTAATGTAACTGTGAGGCTGCAATTCATGGCAGCCTAAATCCACCTGAAATTTTGCAAGCTTCCCAGAAATTACGCAGAAGAAAACAAGTATCAAGAGATCCAAGAAGAATATGCACATCTGTAGGAGTGAAGAATTTTCCAGATGTACGCAAAAGTTCTGTTCATTCACTTGTATAGGCTGTTCCTGTAATTCAGTGTGGATGCAGTAAATGCTGGTGGTTGGAATACAGATAATGAGAGGCAGAAGTTCCTGTTTTGGCTTTCTTATGCACAAACTCTGTGGTGTGTTTCAGGGGAAGTTTCATAAGCCCATGTCACTTCATAATATCTAAAGGAAAAGTGTAAAATAGTGGCAATGTTGCTGTTAACTACTTTCCTAGGTTTGGTAAAAAGCAAAGGTGTCAAAGGTACCTGCACTGATTTGTTAGCCTGGATGCTTTGCAAACTCTCCATATTAAAAAAAAAAAAAAAGTTATTATAGAAAAAGCAGAATATTTTGGATAGTATCACAATGTATTAATACTGTCACCTTGTTTTTAACAGGTCTATGGAAATGCAGGATCTAGCCAGTCCTCATAATCTTGTTGGAAGTAGTGATGCACCAGGTAGTTCCAAATTGGATAAATCTAATCTCAGTAGCACATCAGTCACAACAAATGGAACAGGAGGTAAGTATAAGACACAGCTGGCACACAGAAAGTTTTGGCTAGTTTTTAGTCATATGCATTTTTTACCATAATTTCAAGAATTATCGTATACCTGTTTATAAATCCAGCAAGAATGATGAAAAATTGCCAGTCATACAAGTGTAAATTTCTAATTCCACCATCAATTCTTTGATTTGCACCGACTAAAGTGAGAGGCAGAACTAAAACAAGGTGCATAGATGAAATAAGGAAAATTTTTGGATGGTTGATTTGAACATGGTGTTAAATGTTTGCTTATACCTGTTAGTAACTCACAAAATGAATTATATTTTCTGTGTCATATTTCCTTGATGAGTAATAATTTACTCTCATACCCTGAGTTACATGCATTTATGTTAAATTAAAATCATTATCAAGAGAAGTGCATCACAATTAGACTTAGGAAATATGGAGGGTTTTTTGCTGAATTTCACTTCTTGGGAGGTAATGAAAGTTTGTAATAAAGGGATTGTTTGTTTTCCTCAGCAGCAACTGGTCATTAATGCTGTAGGTGATGCTGTAACACTGCCATATAACTACAATACAGATATTCCAATGGTTTCAGATAACCATTTCTACCATAGCAGTGGCAGGCAGGGTGTCACATTCTGAGGTGCAGTCCATGAAAGTGACACCATGGATATGAGTCAAACTAGAGTTCCTTCTTTACAGTTTATACATTACTGTCTATTTTAGCAGTTGGTACTAAGAAATTTTTTTTGGTTTGTTCTTTCTGGCCACAAGGTTCAGCATTTTATTCACTTACTCTATTTAAATAAAAGTCTGTCAATGTCAATAACAAGTGGATGTGCCTGGGAGGGTAACTGAGCTCTGCAAAGAAGGGCTGAACCATATTTTTAAACAGAATCCTTATTCCAGCATAAAGAATAGAGAAAACTTCCAGCATGCTATTAAAGAACACTAGTAACTGGATGCCTCTATATTATACAATGTGCATAAATAAACCAGTTAAAATAATACCCATAAAACCAATACAGTTCTGTTAAAAGGCTTGACTTAAAGTGCCAAAACATTGCTTTGCCTTGAAGACTATTCATTTACACTGAACAGGCATTGGGAGAATGAACTGTTGTACCATTGCTGTTCTCAGGAGACAACATGACTGTGTTAAATACTGCAGACTGGTTGCTGAGTTGTAGTACTCCCTCCTCTGCAACAAGTATGAGAGAGCCTGGTACAGTGCATGCGTGTGTGGTGTGTCCCCATGGCTGCTACGTGACATCTCTCTCCATTTTCTCTGGTCTTCTCTTATGCAGTTTCAACTCAGTTCTCATGGGGTTCCCCCTCACCCCAAGCATTTTTTCCTACACTTTCTCAAAGGCTTTTCCCACAGCCAGAAAACTGTTAATAAGTTGCTACAAGCAGTTATCTTACAATGCTCTGAAAGTCATTTGATGAGCAAGGAGAATTTAACTCGCTTATAATTAGCCTAGCTGTCTACATGCTCTGAGTGACTGGGATTGTCTTGTGGTGTTCAGCATTGCTGGGAAGTGCCAGCAGACAGCATTGGTGGAAATCAGACCGATGGAATTTTCACAGAATGCCCATTTGCTTTTCTTTTGTTTTTAAGTAAAACATTGCACGATTACCAGAGCACAAGTCAACATTGACAGTATTGTTCTTACTCCTACTAAGGCTTTCATTATTAATCAAAGCTTATGTCTAATGTGCTGCCACGTGTAACTTGCCACTTTGCAAAATTTTGGCCAAATTTTCCAAGCTGTTGTTTTCACTTATGAGTTTCCTGACATGTATTATTAATTGTCAGAAGTTGTAAGGATTAATAATAACTCTATATGTGACATCATTACAGTACATATGGGATTAATCATAGATGTAAACATGCATCACTAAGTTTCTCTACAAGTCATTACAAAAGTGCTTAAATTGTACAGGTTTGGACTAAAGTTAGGAAGATTTCAAAAAACTTGTTGTTTTAAAAAATCCCTCAGAATCAGCTTGCCATTTGTAAAACATATATGCAAGAAAAATTACCGAAAAAAAGTTTTCTTGAGCACAAAAGATCATTTGCACTAGAATAAGTTGTTCCACGTGAATGCTGCTGCTGAATGACAAGATTTTAAGTTTAAGGAAGACTGAGATAACTTGGGCTGTCTCCTTTTTTAGCTGTTCAGCATGTTCAGGTAAATGTGGAAGGTAACAATTTAAGTACTAATTATTAGTAGCGAGGAAATACAATGTGTTAGATTTTCCATAGGCAGTAGAATATTTAGAATTGTGCTTCTGGTTGAATATATTCCCAGGAAAACTCTTAAGCCCTGCTAAAAGAAAGAAGAAAATCATTCCTATGACAAGCTGTGTGGTTTTATTGTTCTACATAAGCTTTTAAAATCAGATTTGTTTGCTGTAACTTCTGTTGCACTTGCTTGTCCTTCTTCATGCATAGTACTAGCACCTCTTGCCCCTAAAACTCTGCATTCATTTTCAGTCCTTAACATAGAGGAATGCTTTAGAGAAAATAAAAAAGTGGTCAGCCGAATAGCAGCCATTTTGATCTTTCATCAAGGTCTATTGTAGAAGCTGTTGCTTGTTGGGAGCTGTATTCTGAGTTAGCCGTAAAATAATGAAGTTTGGATGAGATCCCTGGAGGCCATTTGGGCCAAGAACTGCTCAGAGCAGAGCCAACATCGCTGTTAGATCGTGTCGCTCAAGGCAGCATTGAATTTTCCTCCTACATCTAATTGGATTTTTCCCTTAGTGCAGCTTGTATCTGTTCCCACCTGTTGTTTCCCAGGGCACCTTTTGAGGTGACTGTGCCTTTGTGCTTTGTCATCTTTGCACCTTCCCAGCAGATAGCTGCAGGCAGCAATTAGCTCTCCCCTCAGCCTCCTCTTCCTAGGACAGAACAAGCCCAGCTTCTTGGGGCTCCTTGTGCACCACGTGCCCCAGCACCTGATGATGTTTGTAGCTCTGCTCTGTCACTGTGTTGTCATGGTCTAAGCCCAGCTGGCAGCTAAGCAGCACACAGCTGCTTGCTCTATCCCATCTGAAAGCAGAACATGGGCAGTCTTCACTGCTAGCAGCACTCAAATGTATTTCCAGTTAGAGGTTGCTTTTAATTTTATTTTCACTCTTTCAATACATTAAACAAACAAAAAAAGTTAGTTCTCTTAAAGTGATGTTAGAATATTTTCTTTTTCCTTAGTTAGCTTTGTGCTTTTTCCCTTCTTTATTTAATGACATAAAACATAAAGAAAAATAGGTAGTAGTAAAAATTTCCAGCTACACTGAGAAAGGACCTTGATGAATTCCTTACTGTTATGAAATCTGAATGCAAAAAAATAGAACTGTTTAAAGTCAAGCACATATAAAAACAATTTCTGTAGGTATTTTCCAGCAAAATTCAGTGCCAATATAATGTTTTTCCTCAAGTTAAGTGCAGGAGAGAGTTTCTTTTGTATTAGATTATTTTCTTGACAGGGAAAGAAAAAAGATTGTGTCTATTCATGCTGATGGCAGTGCAGTGCAGCTGGCATTAACCAGAACTAGACACAATTCTAAAGTAAACATTTCAATTCATGACTGACATTTTTGTTAAATATAACAGTTAAACACATACTGTCTTCTTGGATGCAGTACTGAACATTTGTAGCTGACTATGTACAATAGTGAAATACCTTCTTAAGCAAAAAGAGATAAAGGTACTAAAAAGTACTTTTTTTTTCATGTAGGTAGATGTCCAGACTTTGCAGAAGTTCATAGAGACATCTGTATGTACTAATCAGCAAATAAATTAATTTACATACTTTTGATACTTCAGGCAACCATTCATGTTCCACATGACTGAGAGGTTTAATGGAGATCATCATTTTGTGACAAATGGCCCTTGAACCTTTTCTTGATATGTGTTTTATTGATATGATGAAAATAAAATCACATCCTTCTCAAATAATTATAGAAATGGGAATGACTCATTACTCTGTTGCTCTTAAGAATTACTTTTTTCATTTTGGGTTGTTTTTGTCACAGCTTATTTTTTTTTAATTGAAAAGATAATAGCTAGCAAAATGAGGAGTGCATGACAGCTTGCAAAAATGTGGCTGAAATTCTTCCCTAATGATTCCATATTGAATTAATATCCCGCTGCTTGCAGGGAGACTATTTAGTAGTTTTAACTACTATTTATGGTAGTTTTATGAAAGAGAAACAATAATGAAAAGTTTACATTCAAAAGACACACATGCAAAAAGTTTTTAATCTGAGACAGTAGATGGAAAGATGCAACTGTATGACTGAAACCAGAAGGTGCTACTTGGTTTGTTTGGCACTGGTGCACTGGTAATGCTGCAGGGCACCACCAGTCACAGAGACAAATGCATCTCAATTTCTCCTGCATGATCCAAACAGGTGTCCCTCTGACTTCAGCCCAGGTCACTTGTACACTTGTAGGCATCAGCAGCATCCCATGTGACTTCCTGAATAAGATCCATTAGGCAGTGTGACTGGAAATGGAATGTGAATTTGTACAAGAGGTAGGGCTTGTCACAGGCAGCTTTACTGGTAGCTGTGCAATTTCTAATGAGCAACTCACAGTGCTCGCAGACACAGGGAAGAATAGCAGAGTGAGTCTGTAGGTGTTGTTCTGGACATTTTTCCCACGAGGAAATGAAATCCTTTATTTATCTCATGCACAGCCTTTTCCTCTGCCTGTATGAGGACGGCAAGCTTGAGGGCAGCTCACGCCATACTTGGAATCAACCCCTGGAAGTACCTCTCTGTCTCATCTAAACATAAAGGGAGATTAGTGGGCACTTTTTTATATGCTTGATTTAGGTGACTTGAATCTGTGCCACAGTTTCTAAATACATTGCCACCTCAAAACTGAAATTCCCCCCTTTCCTTTGCTGTTGCCAGTGCAGTCAAACGTGGCTGCAGTGATGTTGACAGATGAGAGCTTTGGTCAGCTTAGCTGAGGCCTCTCAGAGGCGTCAGGTAACGCGCTGGCAGAGAACGCCTCTCCTTGGCCTGTGTTAGACCTGCTGGGGGGCTCTGCCAGGCTGCCTGCCACAGCAAAGGCTTCTTCACAAATCCCAGGCTGTGCCCTTGGAATTTGGGTACCTGGCAGGCAGCTGTGGTGGTTGCCTGTGCAGGTCTTCATTGCCTCTTCTCTATGTGGCCCTGGGCACCAACCTGTGATATCCAGAAACGTGTGATGAGTGTTCGTGCCCAGCCCTTCATGTAGAAATTGCATTAATATGTTGAGGCTTCCACATTTGCCAGTCAGACAGGCTAATAGGAGCTGCAGCACATTCTCTATTGCTGTGTCTTACCACACCAGCTGGATGGATGGTTCCCAAATTCCATTGGGAATCCAAATTGGGATGTGGTTCCCAAATTCCATTACAAAAATCCATGCCAAATGTTCTGTCCATGTAACATACTTACATACTTAATTACAGATATTTGTATTGCTTCTGTGGTGCTTTTTGTGCTTTCAGTTACAGCTTGGATGGTAAGACTGCATGATGATCCCCAAGAAATAAATTTGAGTTCAGAGTAGACTAAACTGTTTGGTAACCTCTGATTAAGAAGCCTACTTGTCATGGCTGTCATTTGTGTCCTACTCTAGTTCTTTGGCTTTTTTTTTCTTTCAAACTTCTCTCTTCAGTTATAAAATATTGCTTGTTGGTGGCCTAGCTCAAAAAGACCCCCACAGACTCTGTAAAAGGGGAAGGGGAAAGGCAACATGCTGTGCTGGCACTGTGAAAGTAATTTCCTTTTGTATTATCATGAAACCATATTATAATTGTTTTACTTGTCAGGCAAAACTATTTCTGTTATGTGCTACATCCCTTGACAGTTAATGTTTCCTTCCTCTGTGCTACTCTTAGGATATTGTTAGAATCAATCAAATTTATGGTGAAATCTCCCCCAGAGATATTCCAGTTGCCAAAACCAATAACTGGATGAATGCACAGGTACAGAGATGTGCAGATAAATGGGCACTCCTGTCAGATTCCTGTCAATTGTCTCAGGATGGTGCCAGAGCAAAGGTTGAAGCTGTTGCACGTGGGCTTGTTTGAGCTGGACTACCACTAGTGAGATTGGCATGAGGACTCCAGTACAAATCTAGAAGTAAAATCTCATGTCTACTTATTCTCCTATGTAGTGTCTCTTCTTGCAGTCAAAACAGAACCCATGAACAACAGTGAAACAGCAACAACAACTGGAGATGCATCGCTTGACACTTTTACTGGGTCAGGTAAAGCCATAATAAAATGACTTTTTGTTAGATGCACATTAATGCAGCATTTAATAGCCATCACTAATGAACATTTGCGTGGAAGCAATCTTTACAAAGCTACTATAAAATATTATAGTATTTTGTACCTAATAATAATAATAATAATAATAGATTTTTCATTTTTGTAAATGCAACTCAGCAATTTATGTGAGATGTGATCTTTAAAGAATGCCTAATAATGATGCCTTAGACCTCTGCTGTTTGCAAAAGTCTCAAAATAATACTGTTATTATGGTACTGTAGATCTCAGCGTTAGTCTCGTATGATGTTAGGAAAAAAAATGGGATTGTATTTGTAACAGCCCTGCTAATTTGAGCAGTTTCAAATCTTAAGATTTATGCCTCAGTGCTAATCCTTTTACTCCTATTAGCAGTGTGTTACTTTAAACACTGATCAGATTGCCATGTTAGTCTCTTTCCACTGGGATGAGCTACTTTCTTTCCAAGAAAATGGTTTTACTATAAATAATCATAGGCTTCAATTACTTCTCAAAAAATTCAAACCAACAGTGATTTAAGTAGATCCCTATAAATTATTAAAATGTGGTGAACTGTGGAAAGGTACAGATAATCAGCCTTCTAATCATTCAGTTGCACCCTGCTAATAATAATATTAAAGAGGAGAGGAGGGAGGGTAAGTTTTGCATCTGGAAATATGAGTTCAGTAATGGCCTGACTGAAATGAAACTCCAAAGCCATGAATCACACGCCACGCTGATGCTGTTGTTACTTGGGTAGACTTAGGTAGTCAAGCTGTATTTAAAATATTTTGGAAATCACTATGTTTCTGTGTAATTAATTTTTTTTTTAATCAGGTTTTGGAATTGTCTTTTAGCCATCAGTTGAACCCAAAAGTTAATTATTCAGAAAAGTATTTATAACTAATTTAATGTCTGAAGAAAAGTTTTGTGGGATATAAAGTATTTACTATTTCTGATTAGAAAAATGTCCTCATTTTTATTTTCATTATAATTGTACTGAGAGAAACCTCACCCTAAAGGCTAAAAAGTTCCATAAAAATTAAATACTCTGGGCAAAAATTTAGCTATTCTTTTTCACTCTGTTTTCACTCAATGCTAAAATTTTATTAGTAATGATTACAAATCATAAAATATCCAACTCTGTATATGATTTTTTCATTGTTGGTGAAGTTTTATCAGGTTCTGCCATGTATTTAAGGCAGCTGAGTTTTATTCTATGGCTAAGGCAACATCGGAGTGCCAAGAATTGCAGCCTTCAGCTCAGGTTTAGATAACTAAGTAACAGCTTGATTTCCCCAGGTGCCACTCACCCACCAGCTTCCACTGACTTCAAAAGAAGCCTTGAGATCTCTACACTTTGCATGTTTGGAAAGTTGGTGCCTCAAAAAAAAAAAAAAGATTAAAAAAAAGGCAGGAATTTGAGCCTTGCATGATCCTTTTTTGCCTGTTAGCCACCTGCATACTCAAAAGAAATACAAACCTGATTCTCAGTTTAATGCACAAACTCAAGCAGTAAATGACTACAGTCATTCTCAGTGGGAAATCAATAGTCTGCCTGTCTGGGTGACGTGCAGTCTTCATCATCAGAGCGAGACGCAGAGCTGCCCTGATAATGCACTCAGCCTTTCATAAAGATTGAATGTGTTACTTCTGTGCTTGCCTTTTACTTGTACTACAAAATCAGACAAATTTTTTCCTCTAATTTTATGGGAGAAGTACTAAAGAGTGGTAAAAACTCAGCAACACCAGGATTTCTCTGAGTTTTCAGCCCAACTGATTAGTTGGGAAGTTTAGTGTAGTGGGTTGCCAAAACCAGTAAATGCTGACTAGTAGACAGATGTTGTTTCAAATGAGCCACCTGTGACTGAAAGAATGCATAGCAAAGCCCAACACTGAACAGTTTGTCTTTTTCGTGAAAATGAGGGACATATATGTGTTACTCCCATCCATGACAAAGTCATGATGCCAGCACTTCTCTGTATTTTATGAAATGAGACATGGGTGAAAAGAGAACTCCTGGTGCTGAGATACATTTGAGAGTCTGCCATGCAGAAATCCTCTCCTTCAAACACTCTACCCATTTAGATTGATTTCCCTGCTCCAAGAGCAGTCAAAACAAGTGACCTGTCCTGGAACTGAGCAGAAGGCTCAAAAAGCCATGTGAGGTGTGAAGCAGTCATCTCTGTCCCTAATGACCACTGTAAGTGATGGTCAAACCGATTGTGTCAGGTACAGGACAGGAGAGACAGATTATTCTCCATAGAAAACTGATTCTGTGAACTGTTGATTGAAAAGATAAAGCACACAGATCTCTTGAATTTAGAGTGGCAGCTCTCCTGGGATTGGGAAGCCCCTGTTCAGGGCTGCAGCCTATGTGTTGCAGCTCATGCTCAGGGCTCTTTTCCCCTGTGCTGGAGAGCTGCCCCTGGGAGATCCTGTGCCTCTGGGCATGGGTTAGCCAGGTGAGGAGACCCATTGTGCACCCCCCTTCCTCCTCCTCCTCCTCCGTGTTCTTCAAAGAGCAGCAGCTGGTAATTAGTGTCCTCAGTTTGCAGCTCTGTGATTCTGCAGCACACTCCCATGGGGTGGGCATTCACAGGACTGGGAGAGGTGCACAGCCCTTAACTGAGAGCTTCATGCATTGAGAGTTTGTTGCAGCTGCTGTACTGTAATACTGTGTATATATTGCTTACAACTGTGGATTAATTTGAGAACTGTTTTATCATTTTAGTGGAGTGGAGAGAGAGGTATTTGATGCTCTCATTGTTTTTACTTAGTATTTATTACATACAGGGTACAGAATACAGTTTATAGGTCTAGAAAACAATTTCTGAAGGCTATGAAGATGAACTTAGGGAATGTCACTGCTGTTTGACCTACATTTGGTTCCCTTGTGCATAGAGATTGTGATGTTACTTAAATGAGGTCTTTTTAACCTAACATTTTTTCTGAGAATTTTCCAGATACGTAATGAAAATATACAAAACTCCAGCCCATATTAATATACTGAACCCAACACATGCTATTAATACAGCTAATGATCATTTAAGTCCTCCACAACCACCTTGGCCATTTGAACTAAGAGAGTGACTGGTAAGAGCTGGCTGTCAGCTTGCCCCCTCTGTGAAACAACAGTAATGGGAACTGGAGAGATCAAGGGTCTTATACCTGCCCTGAAGGGCATTCCTCTGGTAATTTCCAGTACTGAAGTCCTAAGAATATTTGAGTTTTTCAGAGAAGAAACAATTTTGTTTTGTTTTGTTTTTTAACATAAGCACCACAAAAGAGTATTTAGCTCCGTTCATATAATGCCTGTATAAAGCACCACAAAACCCAGAGGAACCTGACTCCATCATCTCCTCCACTGCCAGCAGTCCTCAGAGAAGTGATGTCAGGAGGGTATCCAGCAGCCAAAGCTGTTAAAGTTTGATAACCCTTAGAATTAGCAGTTTCATCTGTGAGATACAGGTGTGGTCTGCAAGCTCCACTCGGTCACAATGTTCTTTTCTGATAGGCCTCACACCCTGAAATGTTTCTCAAACATCTCAGTTTGTAGTGGACAAATTGCAGGGACAAGCTACAGATAAACAGTGAAAAGAATGGATTTTTTTAGTCTTGCCTCTTTCTCTTCCTTACAACTGGATCATCAGGGAAAACTGGGGATAAAAACAAGGAAATTTAAAACCAGAGACATTCCAAAAGTATTTTATTTTCTTGTCTAAATTTTAAAAATAAGGTATATGCAGAAAGAATGAAAAGGCAGGCAGCACAGTTTTTGCTGAAAATGATTAGGTTTTGATAGCTGAAATGATTTAAATTAATAATAATTAATTTTTTTTTGTAGTTTACGTAAGGTGGAGTGGCATGGCAAATGTGTTTAAGCCAAGTGATTAATTGATTGAGCTCTCATCCAGCAAATGATGAGACAAAAAGTGAAGCAGTATGGCTAAAATGATCCAATAAGCCGATAATGGATCACAAAAGTTCCTTGCCCTGAGAACCACCAAGGTCACTCTGCTGCTATTGCTTGTCTTTAGAAAGGTCACAGAGCTACAACAGGGAAGATTAATTACTCATCAACCCTGAAATAACCAAGAGCATTCTTTGGAGTTCTATGAACCAGTTACATTGATAGAAACAGCTATAGGTTTGTCTGACTCTGGGAATAGCTGCCTGCACATGTAGCAGATTGCTCTAAACCATGGAAAGGGATTCTTAAAAAAAACCCTCAAAAACAATATCCACACAAAATGAAATTTAGCAGATTTCCATTACAGGCAAACCCTCAATATGTTTTCAAACAGCAACTCTTTTATGAAATCTAATGGCACATGTTTTAAAAGTCATTATCCAATTCTTTACTTTCAAGCCATACTCTACTGCACATTTTAAAAAGAAGTTAATTGTTTTTCTTCTACTGTACTTTCCTTTTAAGTTCTACACATTCTAAATGCATTTAAACTATCTTTAAAAATATGAAGTTCGCTGTGTGTTCAAAGCAGTAGATCTGAGAGACATTAATTAGGGCTGGATGTAGAAATGTATCATGTTTCATAAAATAGTTAGGAACCTAAACCTATTTGTCACTTATAAAATTCAGAATGTTCATTTCTACTACCATTATGAATAACTCAGGAAGAGGGTACACTTTGAAGTACAACTATGATTGATTAGACTAAAGAAATTCCAGTGCTTCATTGTGTACTACTTTAATCTTTTGAAAAGTGAATGAACAGCAGATGGCCTAATAAAGACACTCTGTATGTTTGCCCAGTATGGATTTGCTCTGAAGGGATTGGTTCAGCACTTTAGAGTACATATATTTGGAATACATCTGTCTTAGTCAAGACAGATGGCTAAAGGAAAGGGGAACTTCCAAACACTTGGAATTAATCCAGTGTGAGCGCTGCTTCTGGATGAAATTTTAATGGGTTATGACTATTGTTCTGTTAGCTTTCTTGGAGAATGCAGCTGTGAATAGTATAAATACACACAATTTGGATGGCTACTGAACAGAACTCTTTATACATACTTTAAAATAAAAATGCTGTTTTTAGGGGTTATATTCTACTTGTCCTCTTTTTAAAGAATGGTAGTTGCTTTCCAGTGCCCAATCCAGTATCTTCCATCACCTAAGCTAACTAAAATTAGTCACAACCATATAAAACATGATTTTCCAAAACTGAACTTCTTGTTAATGTGAGACTATAAAGGTATGTGTATGTTACTTCAATCCCGTGAAATATGTAAGATCCCAAGATTCTTTTTAACTACCCCTTTTAATACAACTTGCAAATTTGAAAGATCTACAGTGTGTGGTGATGTATGAAATACATGCCTCTGCAATATACTCAGAAATGTTAGTCAAGTTGAGAAAGCATGACACACCCATGCTAACTAAAGAGTTCTGCACAACAGTGAAAGATTTGGAAGTTTTTAATTTATTTTTTTTAAATGTTGTGGTACTGGTGACATCTGCTTCCTTGAAAAGCTGTCCATTTCAATAGGCTTCTCTGTTAATGTTTCTGCTTTAGTTCACACTGTGTGGCTGTGTGGGTCTCATGGTGTTTCTAACTGCTGTACTCTTGTTTTCTGTTTTGCAGTAATAACAAGTAGTGGCTACAGTCCCAGATCAGCGCACCAGTACTCTCCACAGATATATCCCTCCAAGTTAGTGTCTGCACCTCTTCTAGTCTTTCATAGACCTTGGCTGTGGGCAGTTTTGTGGTTTGTTGCAAACAAGTGTTCAGCAGGAGAAACAGAGAAAAAGGAAAATTCTTAAGCCACGGTACTGGCTCCGGTACTGGCTCCCTCTCCAACTTTTTTTTCCTCGTGTGTCTACAGAGTAAGATCCTGCTTCGTGCAGTGTTGCTGCACAAGAAACACCCTTGAATATCAGCACACAACAGAAGTAAAATAATCAGACTGTTGCATTCTCAGACATCAGCATATTAACAGCATGTGCAGGGAATATATACAGATATATTTTGGAGAAGTCAGTTTATATATAGAAATCACAATTGCACGCACAAGTTGCATACTGGGGGTAACCCTGTCCCTGACCCTTCCAAGGCCAGCATTGCCAAACGCTTCCAAACATTCCACAATCATGAACCACCCTTTCCTTGTCCCTCTCTGATATCATAAGATTTAAAAATCAAATAAATTGGATTAGCTTTTAATCTTATTATTTTTAAGCCAACGGATGTTGTTAGAAATAAAAAATTTCTTCATGCCTTTTTTTTTTTGATGGGGGGAAACTGACTCTTGGGCAATCACACAAATCCAGGAGTGAGAACTTTAGGAAGAAGCACCAAAGATGTATGAAACTGCTGCAATTGGCAGTATATTAGTTTGCTTGTCCAGTACACAAGGGTTCTTGATTCCAGTATGCCATCTGTTTGTTTCCATTTATTTGATACAGCTATCAGTGTGACTTTGGTACAAAGAAAACATTGAATCTAAAGATTCAAGAGCTAATTAAGCTCTTTCAAGCTTTTTTAAAATAAATTTGCAATCTTATGATAGTAGCCAAAATTTATTAATACAGAAAGTAGGTGCCTCAAGTGAGAACCATCATTTCAATTTGAACAGGTTTTGGCAAACTGTATTAGGTACTTTTGGCCAAATACATTACAAGGTTTAATAGAATTTTCAATCTACTGTTACAATTTTTTGGCATCTAAATTAATGAGTAATCCTTTTCTGATAGTAAATGCTGCCAACTCTACTGAATTAATTAGAAAGGAAAAAAAAATTAAAAATTGGAATCTGAAATTTAGTCATGGCTTTTAATGGCCAGGTTTCAGTTAGCGTAATTCTGCAGAGTGTGTTTATTCAACTCTTGGTCCATAAAGCCTTACTTGACTTACAAAACAATCCAAGAAAAATGTTTCTCTGTATATTTTTGCAACTCTGGAGGGCAAAAAATTTAAACTTGATTTTATTCAATCTCTCTATAAAACCTCAGTGTTCACAAATAAAAGACCATTTTTATTTCCATTCTATTTTCCTAGCCCATATTTTCCGAACATTTAAAGCCCATCTGGTTACCAAAGTACTGGTGTCAGTATTTTTTATGCTGCTCTCCATGGGTAGGATCCATCTCCCATTGAAGCTAGAGGCTACATGTCTGTTGAAGCAGAACCTACACAGATGACATAATGTACTCACTTCAACATTCACCTCTGTGTTTCCTTTATTCTTCTAGTCCAAGTTTCCCTCCACTGGATTAAAAACCTGGGGAGGCTTTTCTAATTGAAGCGTTCTGATTTTGGCTGAAAGATGTTAAATCCATTCAAAGACACGCAGCAGCGGCACAGCCCACCTAAAAGTGGACACAGTAGTTTAAGGATTAAATTGTAGTGATGGGACAGCATAAAATATTCACTGTGCCTTGGGCAATGTGGGACAGAGTGTCTTTCAGCTTATTCCAGTGGGGGATGGAATAAATCCCAGAAGAGGAGCAGTTGGCAGAATAATGAACTGCCTTTGGACATCTTTAAACCTTTTTCTTTACTTTATTGCTTGAATCAACATACAAAGTATTTGTTGCCACAGTAATGCTATTTTTCCTGATATTTAGGCCCTATCCGCACATTCTTTCTACACCAGCAGCTCAAACAATGTCTGCCTATGCCGGCCAAGCGCAGTATTCGGGAATGCAGCAGCCCGCGGTGTACACGGCCTACTCACAGACAGGACAGCCCTACAGCCTGCCCACCTACGGTATTTCACCACTTCGTATTCACCTTGCCTACTAATAAAAGCAGTGCTGACTGCAATGCCAGTTTTGCTTTCTCTTTTTTTGTTTTCCCAACCGTAACAAAATATTTTAAAGAATCAGTTGAAAATTAATTTCTTACACAGATTTGGGTGTAATGTTGCCAGGCATCAAGACGGAAAGTGGGCTCTCGCAGACCCAGTCTCCTCTGCAGAGCGGGTGCCTCAGTTACAGCCCAGGGTTTTCCACCCCACAGCCAGGCCAAACACCCTACTCCTACCAGATGCCAGGTGAGTAGCCACCTCTAAAATTTAAAGCTAAGTATTCCTTCCCAGTGCTAATAGGCTTATGTGTTGTCATTTTGATCATCTGTTACTTCAGATCTGGGCATGGAATGCAGTCCCTACTTGAGCCTTCTTTTGAATTTTTCAATGGAGTGAAATGCACTAATTTTTTTTTAGTGGCAGGTCTGGAAGCACTTTTTATATTTACTAATATATAAAAATCTCTTTTCCTTGTTTTTTATGTTCCTGAGTATAATTTGATACATAATGTTCCTGACATAATTTGATACTTGTTTCTCCTTGGATTAACGTAATTTTTTAGAATTTCTCCTTAATTGATATTTATTCTTTTATTTGCTATTCAGTTAATAATTCATTGATTACCCTCTGGTCACTGATAACCTATTTTATTTGAATCATTTTTAAACTTTTTATACAATGGGTAATCTTCAACATATTACAAACTGCAATATGAATCATCTGATTTATGTTGAAAACAAGGACATGCCTCATTACAGATTGATTAAAAACACCCGGATGTAGTCTTTTGAAAAGGTTCTGGTTTTGCAAACATAGCACTAAAGTATTAGAAATGAAGGCAAAAGAGAAAAACAGTATTTGAGGAGAGGTGAGAATGCAATAAACTGAAAAATCTTTCTAAATTGGTGAGATGACTTACTGCTGATACCTTCCTTGCATGGTGTGGAGAGGAACATATGCCTATGTGTATGGAAATAGTACTTAATTTCTTTTGAACTTTCATTACAATGCTTTATACTTCTAGTGGAAAATACAAGTGACTTTTTTGTTCTGTTTAATCTATATCTTAACATGGAATATTCTAATTAGAGTTTTATTTTGATTCACAAACAAGTTCTCAGAGTTAATTATATTTCTTAATTTCAGGTTCTAGTTTCACACCATCGTCCACTATTTATTCAAACAATTCTGTTTCAAATTCTACAAACTTCAGTAGTTCACAACAGGTATGAATATACCCATTTTTATTTTGCCAGTTACAAAATTACTTCTATAACTCCAGAGATAGCATGTTACTTTAATTTAGATCTGTTATGTTCAATGAGACTCACTGTGGTTTATTTTCTGTGGAAAATGATCAAACTCTTACTGGAAGCCTAGTTACATATTTTAGCACTTAAATATTTCAGCAGCTTCCCTGTAGTCTTTTAGTAAATATCTTTAAATTAAAAGACACTAAATATTTTTGAATTTAAAAAAATGCTAAATTAAGCCTTCTAAACACTAGCAAAAGTCATATGACTGTACGCTTAGAAATATTTAGTGGGAAAGAATTCACTCATTACTGTACTTAATGGAGTGCTCTGCTGCATCTGCTGTTTCAGGATTATTCTTCATACACAGCTTTTGGCCAAAATCAGTATGCACAGTATTACTCAGCATCAACGTATGGTGCATATATGACCTCAAACAACACGGCTGATGGCACTTCATCATCATCAACCTACCAATTACAGGACTCTCTCCCTGGCTTGACTAGTCAACCAGGTACAGATCTACATTCAGGTGAAAACAGTTTTTGTATTTTATGTGCTGTTTGTATAAAGATTTCCATATTCAACTTGCATGGATATTGATATTTTATGTTTGTGCCTCTCAGAAAACTTTGTCATGTAAACCACCCAAAATAAGCTATTTTACTGGTTAGTTAGGAAACCTGTCCAGTTTGTTTGCTAATTAAAGAAAGCTTTTTGCAGACTGAGATGGTTGTCTGTGTCACTGGCAGTGGAACAGTGCTGTTTCCACTGATACATTCTGAATTATTGCTGGGAAGAATTTAAAGCAAGATACTATTTTTCATTTAAGAGCACATGGGCTTTATTCAAATGTGTACAAGGCATGCTTGCTAATTCATTAATTTAAGTAACCAAGAATAGAGAAATTAGTTATTAGCACCACAAAGAAAAATTGTATTGGAATAGTTGAATTTGCAAGGAGAGCATTATCAGGAGACCTGAGGAGGCTCCCTTTGCCTGCCCAGCCCTGCCCTCTTGTGCACAGTCACCACAGCACAGTAGCCTGCTGCTTGCATTCCTAGGACATCCCTGGAGGGTAGTGGCAGTTTTTAATTTTTCTTCAGCACTCTTAGAGCAGTCTCTTTCAAGGGCACCAGCTTCACTCATCCAGTGCGGGCAGTGTCTGCCATTTCTAAAAAGTCTAAGAAACTGGCTTTTGGATTAGGCTCTGAATAGGGGAGGAATTTTTGCTTTAGTCACAAAATCACCTTATTGCATAGATCTTCCTAACAACTTATTGAAAATACAGTAGAAAGACTAATGTATTATTGTAATGAATTTGTACAAAGGAAAGGTAACACTGCATAGAAAAGTATAAGCAAGGGCTCACACATAAAATGAATTGCTTAAATTTGCTAAAAATACTGGAATTTTAACTAAATTAGTTGAAATTTTTCCTACCAGTAGTTTTCCTCAGGCTGATTTTTAAGATGTAACAGTGCACATGTTTGTCGGTGTATGTTTGGGGTGGGATATGGATATGGTTATGGATATGGATATGGATATGGATATGGATATGGATATGGATATGGATATGGTATGGAAGACTTGGAGATACATATTCCCATGAGTTTTGATGAAAAGTGCAATGTTATTCAGTAGTCTCAGAATGCAAATCTAGGAAAAACCTAAAGGTAACATGAAATCAAGTGAAATTTCAACAGGTGGAGGATATCTGTAACAGATACAAATCATATGCAAGGAATTTTTAGGAGAGTGTGGAGTGTACTCACAAGTTACATGTTTTGATGACTGTGTATGTCCTGTGCACTTTCACTTGCTGCTTTGTTATTCCTTCATATTCTTTTTTGAGAAAAATCAGACAGTTTCCCATGTTGTTTCTCCCCTAGGTATCTGTTTCCTAGAAACACTATGTAAATGTATAATGTATTTTTATGAGTACCATTAGTATTAAATAGACTTGGCAAAAAAAAAGGAATCTTAAATAGTTTGAACATGTTGGAAAAGTATTGAAGGCTTCACATCTGTGAATCAGTAAAGGTTTTTCCTGGTTGTGGATTGTTTAAGCATATGAACTTGTTCTCTTGTTAAGTAGGTTGAGCATCTGAGTTTAACAAATCCACCCCCATCTGCTCCTTATTTCTGTGAAGGGTTGCTGCAATCATGTGTCCCTCTGCTGAGAGTGAAACGCCCACTTTGTGAATGCATGACATGCCTGTGCCCTTCTGTGTCCCAGTAAAAATAAATTTCCATTGGTGAGGGGCAGTGTCTGGGAGATAATTTCAGATATCATAGATCATACTGCAGTTCTTTAGCACTCACCATGTCCACTTGCTGTCAAACAAGTCCTTAAGACTTACTCCAACAAAAACCTGAGACTAAACACAGCAAGGCACTTAAGTCTTCTGGCATCTCTACTAGTTGTTAATTCAAATATCTAATCAAAACCTCTAGTACTATCTGCACATACAGGATTTCTCATTTGCATAATAAATCCCCATCGGATCAAGAGTTAATATCAGCTACGATTTTATTTATTGACTGTGTAAAGAAAATGAGATGAAAATTGAAATAGACTTTACTCTTTTTGCTATTCATGACAAGTAATAACACACTACATTTCAGAAAAAAATGAAAAAGCAGGCCTGTAATGTTGGACCTGTCTTCTGGCTGCTCTGTCTGGTAAGGATATGTAACAAAAGTCAATCCATAAGGAAAGTATGAAGGGGCTCAGAAATTCATCCATTCCACATTTGTGTAATGCTCAGCTTCTTAAACCAGGGACTTCTCTTCTGAGCTTGCATTGAGCTTGCCTTATATTAAGATTTTTCAAAATGCACTCCTTACCACAGAGTATTTGTGAGATAAATAGGTGTCCCCTAGGGCACTTCATCTCAAACAGGGATAGCTCAGATGGACTGGGAGGTGAGGTGTCAGGACGTAAGTACACTTGAGCGTATTTGATGAATACACAAGTACATTTAATCTGGGGCAAATAAAACTCTAGCAGATAATATAGGCCTTGATAAAAGCTTCCTGTGAAGTCACCTTGCTATCATATATCCAGGGTTAGGGGAGGCAAATCACCACAGGATATTAGCTCCCATTCCATTACTGGGATGCAGCAAAGCTTAATTTGGTACCCACAATGAAGTCACCCTTCACAGCTTCTCTGGGAGACAGCATTAGGCTTTTATTCAGACTGCACAAACTCTTTTTTTCCTTCTTAAGTCATAGAACCATGTTTTAACAAGGAGGAGGGGATGTTCACATCATTGAACTGGAGGTGGGAAACAATCTCCTAGATGTGAAAGACCACCTCCATTTGTAATGTGTAATTCCCTTTGTAACTTGGTGCTCTAATTCCCTGTCCTCTAATGGGAGCTGCTGCATGGTCTCCACAGCATGAAAAGCTTCATATTGGACAAGTGTGTTGGATGTGTAAGAACATCTGTGATAAAGAGGTCATTCAATATTCTGGTTTTAACATTTTCCTCCTGTTCTCTTGGATCACTGGCACTGCTCACAGTCCCAGTGGGAAGAGGCTATGAGGTATATTTATTAGGCATGTGTTGAATATTGAGAAAGCTAAAAAATTTCAAGCATTGTAATAAAAATTTCTGTCTATCATAAGCTGCAGTAGGAGCTCTTTGTGATGTTAATGTTCTCAATACTCTTTGGTACCAGAATTTCTCACATTCTTTTATGTTACAGAGCTGAATTTTTAAAAAGTTTTCATTTTGTCAGCATTGACCTCATTTCTAAAGTAAACAGAGGATAAGAAAAGTGCAGTTTCTCCTTTAGACTGCTGTAGGTAGAAAGCAAATCAAGCAATTAAGCCTACAGTTGTTTAAGAAAACAAGCACCACAGACTTCTGCAGTTCTAAAATAGATGCATACCTTGCATTCAAGTAAGAGACAGCTGCTCATTCTGATTTAGAGATTAGTGTAATGAAATAAAGTTGGCTTTAAATATCTAGATTTTACAAGGAACAGCGATTAGTTACGGTACTGATTAATAGATAATTATGCAATCCTGTACAGCATTGTCCCAAGCAGAAGCCTAGAGCAACTGGTAATGGCTAATGCTAAATGAAAATTTGATTTATTTACTTCAGTTGTTGGGTAATTTCAGAGAAGATTTAGAAGAGGAGGTTTTTTAATATTTTATTTTTGGTAGATTAGAATAAACACAGTCATTGAGAACAGATGTTTGAATACATTACTGTGGAAATGAGTCTTGATTTTGTTGTAATGTGTTGAAGTGTTATAAATAAGAAGATTTTTGTGGTAAGAATGTAAACATTCATCTTCACTTTCTTAGTTTTTGCTTTTTCTTCCTGGGGGTTTGGTTTTGTACATTTTTTCCACTCAATCAGAAAAATCTAGGAAACTATTTTTGCACAGAGCTCTTGCACACTTAGAACTTATTTTGGAGCCATTGTAGGCTTTTGCTGCATAGGGATTCTGATTTGGATGCTTCTTGTACATTTCTAATTACCCAAGTACATTTTGCTGTTCTTATGGGGAAGAGCCAAGATAATGTGATCCTTATTGATTGCTTCACTGCCTGCTGTGACCTTGCTGACATCAACACCATGCCAGGAATAGAAATGAGTAGTCAACAAGAACTGTCTACTCTCCCCATTCTTTAGGGATTTCTGCCTGTGTGTCTTGTCCTTTCTCTGCATACCTCTATGAAAGGCCATTTAACCTCTTTTACTAATGCTCAGCCCCCTTCACTGTCGTGGTGACCCTCACCTGGACTAACCCCAGTTTGACATTATCTCTCTTCTACTTGGGGACCCAAAATTGCACATTTTTCCAAATGTGGTCTTGCAAGTTCAGAAGAGAGAAGAAAAATCAGTCTCCTTCACCTGCTGGACACTCGGTGATGCTCTTTAGTAAAAATGAAAAAAAAAAAAAGATTCCAACTCAAAAAACAGATGCATCATAGATGACTTTTGGGAAATATTTGTACCAAGTATTAATTTATTCTGCATAGTTGCCATCTTGAGCACTTTTAACAAATATTAGCTGTGGCCCAGGAATGCTCAATTACAGGCAGCTCAAGGACGCTCTTGAATCAAAATCTGTACTAGATGTCAGATCAAAGCTGTACCCTTTCCTCCTCTTCTGGAGAAAAATCAAATCATTATTAATAGGATAAATTAAGAAGGAGGTTTTTTGGCATTTAGCACTTGGGAACCTAGCCAAACTGCATTTACTGCTAGAAGTTTTGAAAGCTGAAGATGCTAAGCTTCATTAAATGAGTAATGAATGGGCTTGAGTGTGGTTGAGACGAGCTATGCCGTACCAGGCCAAAGGCCCTCCCAGCACATCTCTGTGACAGCCCACAGTGCCTCATGCTTAGAGAAAGACCATCAGAGCACAGCAAGTACTACTTCATGCTCTTGCAGGTACTAACTGGAATATTGCATTTAATAATATGACTTTACTCTGACAATTTATGGGCTGAGGTATGATGAAGGAAAAAAGTGAACTTTACTAAAGAGCAGGTGACATGGAAGGAGGACGTGAAACTGGAGGCTGCCTGGCTGTTCTGGATCATGGATTAGTGCCAAAGTGTCTTCTGGTAAAAGTAAAGCAGGACTTGGAAATAAGTCTAGCTGAACTGAAAACATGGGAAATTAACTGCTTTAATTAAAAAGCATTTCATGTTCTGAGAAACCATTAGTATGACTTCTAAAATACCCCTGTCTTGGATATATTTATATTTTGCCTAGGCTCGTGTATTTGTGTATATGCACATGTGTATGTGTCATTTTAATTTTTGTCTTGTTCTGCTGAGGTTTATAGTGTTTTGTTGGTAAAGCCAAAAGTGTGTGTGTGGCATCTGCTGATCCCATCTACATAAGAGAAGCCACATTATCGTTCTTTTTATACAACATTTTTACATGTCTCTTGTCATTGGCATACAGACATGTTGAACTTTGAGGGAAAAAAGTTGATTATTTAAAAATCCAGCATTAATTTTGGCATGAATGGTTGCCTCTACAGGAGAGTTTGACACAGTGCAGAGCCCCTCCACGCCAATCAAAGATCTTGATGAGAGAACATGTAGGAGTTCTGGGTCAAAGTCTCGGGGTAGAGGGCGGAAGAATAATCCATCACCCCCTCCGGACAGTGACTTGGAGGTATGTCTGTGGTAATTGATGAATGTTAATGTGGAAGTTTCTTCTGATGAAGTGTAAATTCTGAATACTGCAGCTGTGAAAATAGCTTAAAGCATTTTAAAGACATTATGGACTCAGTCTTGCTAACTGAATGTAACAGAGAGTAGTAGCTGCTTTAATCTGCATGCACAGTGAGACTTTACTTTCTGCATTACATATCTGTCACTTTCTTGTGCAATAGAACCACAAGCCTGTACTCAAAAGTATCACATTTTCTTTTGGTTTTTGAAACAGGAAATCTCAGCTGTATCTCTCCGCTTCATTACATGTATTTATGGATGCAATGGAAATAGCCAGGATCGCCTGGTCATAGCCTTTTAAATATTTAGGCACCAGTTTGTGCTTGTGTTTGTAAGTTCTATCAGCACATCTCAGTGAGGCAGCTTACCTCAGTGAAGTCATGGCTGTGCCTTGCAGTGGCAGGAGCAGCAGGAGGAAGCAGAGTGCCTGTGTGTGTGTGTGTGTGTGTGTGTGTGTGTGTGTGTGTGTGTGTGTGTGTGACACTCCAGCTGTGGCACCAGGGACACCAGGCTGTGCTGCCTGCCAGGGCTCTGTGTCCCCTGCTGCCACCACTGCCACCAGAGCAGCGCTGGGAGCCAGCAGCCCTGGCCTGCCCCACTGCCCTGCCCTCCCTGACCAGCCCTGCATACAGCACAACACAAAATTGTTGCTGCGACTTGGCTGACCAAGGGCCTCTCCTGGGGTAGCAGGGTGGGCTGCAGGGCTGGGAACTGAGTGTAAATGCTGTTGCTTTTCTACAGAAACTTACCTTTTTTTTTCTTCAAAGGATTTAATTTTTCCAGTGAAAACACTAACTTCTTACATTTCAGGGTTTCTTTTGGTTGGTTGAGTTTTTTTCTTCATTATTTTTACCAGTGAGAATCAAAACAAGCAAAATTGTATGAATGAAACTGAGTTAAAATAATCTGGTTTATCCTTCAGTATGGCAGTATTCTATATGGCAGTGGCAAATAGCACTTTTACCCAAGATTTTAGTTACACAGTAGAAATAAAAAGAATCTTGAATCAGTAAGACTTGCAGAGAAATATCTGAAAGTTCTGTTTATCCATAACAATTATGTTTGATCCCAAATCACATTTCTGAAATCTGTATTACAGAGCTTTTGTGAAAAGCTTTTTAGAGAACAAATAAGACATAGTTGAAGAGTTAAAAAGTTACTGCCTTTTGACTTTTTACAGTGCATGATACACTGTTATTGCTGATTTTCAGAGACAACCTGCTCAGTTAATAAGTACTTGGTTAAACTTCTAGACTCAGTTGACTTTTAGTCTCCCTGGGTGGTGCGGTGGTGGGACTGTGATGTTATTTGTTCAATAATATTTTCCTCTATTCTGCTTTCAGCGTGTATTTGTTTGGGATTTGGATGAAACAATCATAGTTTTTCATTCGCTGCTTACAGGATCCTATGCACAGAAGTATGGCAAGGTATGTGAGCTGTGAATTTTGTGGCAATTCACTGCAGCTATCTGGCCTGACTATGTACATGTTTTTCACCTCTGTGTTCTTTATGGGTGAAGTTAGAGGTAAAGTGTACAGTAAACCCCATTTTCAGAGGGTTAATGTGAAGAAGTCTAGGAGAGGAATAAGATGCAGCCCCTAAGTGCAATACATAAGGCAGGGCTGAAGCAGATGCTGCAAATAAGAGGAGAATTTATAGAGAATTTATAGAGGATGAGGTTCCTGACATATGCTGGAAGAGACATTGCAGGGAGATAATAGATTAAGTGCACAAATGGAAAAAACTGACAATATCTGGAACAGTAGAGGAAGAAAGAATAAACTGGGCTGGTGGGTGAATTTACCAGGAAATTTATGAATAGGATGAGTAAGAGTCTGACTTATTTCAATGCCAGCTGCAGATGTTGTTCTTTGACTCCCCACCTTTTTCACTGAATTTTTGGTTCCCTTGGCTGCTTCTGGGGTGAGTAATGCTGGGGAGTGAAACCCTCTCCCAAGTAGTTTTAAGCATCCTCTCCCCTCCAATGAGTCCAAAAGGAGTTCATGTCACAGAGTGGGAGAGCAGGAAGAGGAGTGAGGGAGGCAAGGAGAGGCAGTGGCAGACAGCAGGAGCTCTGGAGCTGGTTCTGGGAGTCCAGGGAATGGCTGCTTGCACAAGGTGAGAAGGGTCTGGTGTGTAGCAACAGGAGCAGACTAATGGGAGAGGTAGAGATAAGGGCCTGGATAAAACAAAAAAAATTAAAAAAAATGTGGAAGGAGGAATGGACAGAGGGGATGTCAATATGTACATATATTGTTTTCTCTGTGCTGTTCAAGTGAAATTAATGCAAAGGTATTTCTTTTTAAGAACGAAATCATGTTGTCTCAGATGTGGGGCTTGTTTAGCATGCTTTCAGCATCTTTATTCCATCCAGAATCAGATGTTTGAGAAAAGAATGTGAGAAACAGTACATTACAGAAAGGCTTTTCACAACCCCCTCCCCTATCAGTGGGTTAGAAATGTCCAAAGCCAGAACCTATGCATTGTAACCAGAGAGGGGCCAGTCTTCCATGCAATCAACCTTTTTTGGTTATTAAAAAAGAAAGTTAACAGGAAAAACCACAGGCCAAGTGCAAAATTTGAATTTCTGGAATGCTAAGATAATGATAGGTACTCATGTCTTATAAAAGTCTGCCTTCCTTGCTTTGCAGCTTCCCAGTGCCAGATCTCTGCACTTTTCAGTACTCTGTCAAAAAATCCTCTTCTGCTCTTTTTCAGACATTGTAACAACAGTGACTTTGTCAGAACCATTTCCAATTAGTAGTTATCAAAACAAGAGAGAAACCTAGCTGAACATGAACTTTTGTATCACTTTGAGAGTAGCTCATAGACTACCACAGGACTTGCTAAATTGTCACAGTGATAAAGTTTTTTCCAGATAAAGTTATTCCTTTCAGTCTTTTTTGATTGTGCCCTTTGGATGTTTCTGTAATCAACTGTAACACATAGTTTTAAAAATCAGAGCTCATTTTGTAGTTCACAAAACATCTGTGGATGACTTTGAAAACTGTCTTGGAAACAGCAACAGAAATGTAATTTCTCTGGGTAAATTAGTAATGGCATATTAACAGATAGTAGTACTGACAGCAGATAAAGTCTTATATAAACCAAAAGCGTCTCAAGGCTTAGTGAAATTAATATAGTTATACTGCTGAGATCAACATCAGTAAACAAATGTCAAATGCCATGGATGGCAATGAAGCAAAGGGTGCAGAATTACAGAATTCTTAAGTAAAATCCTCTTTTTCTTTTTCTCTCTCTTTTTTTTTTTTCTGATACTGATAGGTGACATCCACTCAAGTAGGTTATTTCCAGACCCTATAAAATGAAAATAGTAGACTTTTTCCTTCCTGCAGTGACTGCCATTGCCATATTTACATAGAACTTGTGTGATGAGTTGTTACCAGTGCAAATCAAATATAAATATTGTTGACTGCAAGGGAGCTAGAGCAGTAGGAAAGGGAATACAGGAAGAGTTTATAATGGATAGGCTTTAGCTTTTGCATGTCCTTGTAGAGTTGCCTAAATTTAAGGTGGGATGTGTCTCAGCCTAAGTGCCTAAGAGGTTAGAAATGGGAGAAGTGAAAGATCCCACAGAAAGACTTCACTAAGCTCTGGTACATGACATTTTTAGCACATATGGTCCTTGTCTTTTCTGCATATGATTTCCATCTGTATACAAGGGCTTAATCGAGACTGAAGATTGGATTGTTATGATAATTGGGTTGCTGTAGAGTAAATGTTCCAAAAATTGTGAGGTCATCAGCAGAAGTCTTGTTATCACATAAGTCTCTCAAAATTTTTTAGAGAACAGTTTGTCTTGGAAAGGTGGTATAAAATTGTTGCCTAGCAATGAAAAAAGAAACAGGGTAGTGTAAAATAGTGAAGATAGTAAATTATTTAACTGTGATGATTTGCTGTCTGATTTTAAAAAGTAAAGGCATCTAAAGTCACACAGATGCTCAGCTGTGAATAGCATTTTCTTCCACATATATTTCATGAGCCCATTTTGTATAAAATAGTAAAGGTACTCACAAAAAAAGAGAAACTACACCAAAAAAAACCTGGCAGGACAAGCCGAATTTTCCCTTTCTCCCATTTTAATTTTTTACATGAGAATAATGTGTAGTTAAAGTAAACATTGCTTTAAGGAAAGGCAACTTCTTATACCAAGTGTTCCACTTCATCCTTGGAAGGAGTGAGATGCTGAGTTTAGAGCTAGTGGGAATATACAAACAGGCAAGGATATTCGCCTTCAGTTCTTTCTCATGTACTTATTGACATAAAAACATTAATTCCATGTTTTCACCAGCTTATTCCTGGTTTTTTGAGTACCAGGTAAAAAAAAAAAAACAAAACAGGAATTACTCTTTTAATCTCTCTGTTTTGCTGCAGTTCAGGCTGCACAGGGATGCAGTGAGAGGAGGTGCAGCATATTATGGCCTGGCATAGGGATCCACATGTGAGTGCAGGAGCACTTGAGAGCTGCAGTTGTATCTGGAAATAAACACTTTCAAAAGGTTTCTACAGTTTAACTAGTGGTTGGAGTAGAAGAGAAAAAGGAAAGTCAAACCAGCATCTCCTTAGGCAAGGAGGGCTTTCATTGGCAGAGATTATTTGGAAGGCCTGGATCCAGTAGGCAAGTTTTAGGTTGTGTATTTGTCAAGAGAATAGCAGATTTCTGACTTACACCTAAGGATTTATGAAGCTGAGAATGAACACTCTACTTGGTATATACTTGTTCAGCACTTTGCATGGAATGATGTCAAAAATTTCTAGGATAATTATTTGATGTCAAAATTTTATAATAACCATGCTAAAACAGAAATAGTGATTTGCTGAAGGATGCTACTGTAAGCATCTCTTTAAAAATGGGACAAATTGCTGCTGCTTATCTGTGTGCCAGTAGAGTACAGCTTTAAACTCAACTGAACTGGGAGAGATTTGGCCAGAATTTGACCAGAGTATCACTTCTGCATTTAAAATATAGAGCTTTCCTAGGAGAATATTCCATGCCTTGCTGTTGTCTACCTGTGGCTGTTTCTCTCTGGCTTTTGGTATATTGGTTATTCTACTGGGCTAACATAGAAAGAGAATAAAAACTACACTACACCTGTGTTAGGTTTCAGGAAAGCTGTGCTGCCTTCCAGCAGTAAGATCACCTCTCACTTTCCCACTCATTTGCTCATCTGCATTGTACTTCATTAAACCAGTACACTTCTATTTTTAATTACTTACTGCAGTAGCAAATTGTGAACATTGGCATTGGAGCTGTATCATTATGAGTTGTGTGGATGATGATGGTTTTTGCAGCTGAGCACCAGTTGACAGATAAGGTTTTCTACAATGCTGAGCTCTTAAGTGAGCATTTATGGATGTGACAGGACATCTGTTAGGAGATGTCATCATCTCTTAAAAGTTTATGAGGTACATTCTTATTCCCTGTGAACAGTGTGTATTCTTTGTTCCATTGCATTCCAGTTATTCTTGCTGATTGAAGGATGATTAAGCTGGAGTTTTTCTAGTTCCAAGCATTTATATTTTATTCATTTCTCCCAGGTCAATCCAGAGAGCTAGGATTCCGAGATTAATGCTGTGACTCAAAGTGCAACTGTTTAGAAGAAGAATAAAATTCCTTTGTGATCTTAGAAGATGGAGAATGTGATTTCCAAGTGCAAAAATCAAAACAAATCCACACTTGATGATCATATTTGGCCATTTTTTTGTAACTTTGCAAATGACAGAAAGTTGTCAGGGAAGCCTCATTAACCTTGTGCACTTCTCTGGAAAGGGCTCAGAAGCTTTTTACTGCTCACTGTCTGCTTGTCTGCTCATTAAACACAAAAGCTTTGTCACCATTAACATCCATAATGGCGTTCCCAAATTCACTCCTAAATATTATCTTGTCCACTTGTATTAATAGTGTATCTCTCATCACCTCCAGTTATCCTCTCCATTCACTCCCTCCTTGTCTGAGACCTCTGAGTTGATTTTCCTACTGCCTTCTAGAGAGAATGGAACAGAAACTCCCTATGGAGTACGTGAGTTTTCCTTCATCAGCCACCAGCCACGGTTACCAAGAAGAGATGTGTTCTCTTCCTCCATCACCACCCACATGAATTTCTCCTGGGACAAGTGTCCCCTATGAGAGAGTGAGGGCTGAACTTTGATCTAAGAACCTACATAACATAAAGAAGTCTCTTTAAGCTAAAATATTGGTACTTAATGTTAGTGCTTCCACTTTTTCCCAAGGTCAATTTTGTTTTAAGTCTGTGCAGGACAGCCATCCATTGAAAATAAGTTCTTAAAATTTTGCTTATTTTCTTGCTTATTTTTAAGGCTTCATGAATGCAAATTCCTGTCACAATGAATCTGCCTAGCAGTCTGTTTATCTCTTCATTTTCCAAGGTTTTATTAAAGTCACTTTGGTGTTTGCAGATTTTTTCCTAAGAAATGAAATTATTTTAAACATGTGCAGAAACCTGACATTCCAAAACAGTATTAAATACATCTCTTCCACTAATGGACACTGAGCTTTTGGGGCTTTATTCCAGTTACTCTCTACTTGATCAAAACATTTAAGTATTGGTCCTCCCAGGATATTTTTATCTAGTCTCCCAGGAGGCATTCCAATGGATGGACCAGTCTGGTACAGAAGTCCACAGACAGACAGTCTGGCTCCAGTTTAGTGCCTTCATCTTAACATAACTAAAGTAATTTGTATTTAGGTGTACAAAAGTTTTGTAGCTGGTCTTGATTCTTCTGCACACTAATGATATCTGGCTAACATCATACCTCTGTGGGCCAAAGAGTTGTTCTTTTTTCTGTGAATTATCTGGGGAAAACTTCCAGATTTTTTATTAATCATTTTTTCCTCTATTGTGTGTGCTTGTGCAGAGTAGCACAAAATACAGTTTTGACAGAAATTCAGTCTGCCTCTTACTAAGTTTTTCAGGTGGCTGTGCTAAGTTCTGTACCAACTGCAAGTTTCTTGCTTTCTTTTCAACACACAATGGTTTGTGCCACTTGAATCAATCTGTAACTTCTGCTTCAGGCTGAAAGACAGTAAAATGATGATTGTCATATTCCTCCATATTGTGCAAACACTATAAAGCCACGCGACCCTTAAAAAAATCTGCTTTCTTGTCTGCTTTTTTATGTGAAGGAAAGAACTTAACCTGGCAAGACCTGGATGGAACATAATTTTTAATTCTTGTTAAACAGTTGCAGTGCAAAATTTTGGGCAATTTATTAAGGGAAGAATTGTTCAAATCTTGAGAATTCAATTCCAGCAATTCTCCCTAGCAGAAGTTGTACAGGAAGATCCCAGAGTGATTTTATGCTAAGCTGAAATGAATTCCCTTTGCTTTGCTTTATTTTATTTTACATACCATACCTAGCAATAGCCTTCTCATGCCTTTGTCAAAACAGGAATGTAGGAAATATAATTTTAATAGTAATAGTCAGGCATAACTGGTTACAAAAGTACTATTAATAAGAAAATCATAAGAGCTTTGTCATATTTACATTTTTCAACTATACCAGGCAAGGCAGGAAATTGTCATACATAGTTGGTAGTTTCTGTAAAAACAAATTGAATTATAACTGAAAACGTTATAGGAAATTTCTGCATTCAAGTCTGCTTCTGCCCAGGAAGGGGTAAAAAAGAGGCTGAGAATTAAATGTCTGAGATTCCAGCTTTGGAAGCACTCCAGTGAATAACTTATATAAATAATAATGAGTTTCCACCTGTGCATAAAATTCTGCACATACTTTAGTGTTCGTGGGATTGAAGTAAAAAAGTGTATTGCAAATACTCTCTGCTATGTTGTATCTAGAGAGAAAAGATTTATATTTACAATGCGCAGAAAATGCAAATGAAAGAGACAAACACGTGTTTATATGTGATGACATTTTGATAAAAGCATTATGGCTTGATGACGAATCTCATGAGTCCTGGGTATTTTAGTGATTTGTGTTGTCAGTGCCTAACATGAGTTTTGCTCATCTGTTAATGGTGTTCCTTAATCATCCTCTTGGAAATCTGACCTTTGCACTTGGTGCTGCCTTCAGCCATGTGACTTTCAAATCCATTTATCATTACTACAGAAGACAGAATGGATAAAATTCTGTTCCTGCATTTGTTTTTGGCTTCTGAAAGGTACTCTAGATCCGTTCAAGGGTCTACATAAAAATATTTCCTTTCACTGCCAGAGAATTGGGTATAACTTTGGATCATTACAACTTCTTGAACACTATTTTCTCTTTCAAGTATGCCTTTTCCATGAGCAAGAGTCAAAGTATGTCAGTGTTTCAGATTTTACCATTAGTTATTAAGTGCTTGAATGCAGAATCCATCTTTTATTCCGTCATTGCAAAGCCCTGGAATAGTGAGTGTCTGATCCTGGTTGGGAAGTCTTTCATCCTAATGCTAACAAATTATAATTTGAGGTTTTGTGAGATTTTGTTGCTACATGCTGATAAATATTTAGACTTTAAATCTCAAAGTATTTAAGAAGGGATTCTGAAAATTTGCTTATGTCAGTCAGAGATTAAATTATGAAATATTTTTTTCATATTTTGATGAGAAGAGGACCGCATGTGTTTTAAAAGTCCACTGCAGTTGTGTTAAGCATAAAAAAGTTAACGGCACCCCACAAGCTCAGGCAGATGATTAGGGCAACAATCAAACTAATTACTAGGTGTCAGCAAAGCACCAGGGACCGTTGCTCTAAACCAGCTCTAAGGTAACACAAATCTACTTTACCTCTCTCCTAGCAAACCCAGAAAATTTGAATTCATTACCTTGCCTTAGCTGTATGCTTAATGCTCTCAGACACTGTTATTGCAGGTCAGGAGATTTGTGGTGTCTTGCTGAGGCAGAGCAATTTGAGAGTGTGAAAGACGACCTACAAACAAATGCAACATTCTAATTAATCTTATCCAGGGACAGTATTCCTGTGTTTCACCAGCAATGAAGGGATCTGTAGCAAACAACAAACTTATATATGCTTTTCCCAGAAAAATATGTTCCTGCATGCATCTTTTATGAAAAGTGACATCCCTATTTCCAGTCTTCTTTATACTTGTTTATGTTTATATTTATGTGTACAGTTCAGCCAGTTTGCAAATTGCTCAACTTTAAAAAATTTGATTTTTCAATATCCACAGCTCTCTGAATTTTCTCACAAACAGAGGTTCAGCAGTGTCTTATTCCAGCATTATATTAAAATAGCTTATTACTGAAAGGATTTCAGGGAAATTTCTAACAGTGTTAATTTTTCAAAACACTTTATATACATAATTTTTTAAAGTAATTCTTATATAATTTAGAGGTATGTAATAGCTAATCTTATTTTTTATTTTTTAAGGATCCACCCATGGCAGTGACCCTTGGACTACGAATGGAAGAAATGATTTTTAATCTTGCTGACACACATTTATTTTTTAATGATTTAGAGGTAAGAATCAAAGGAGTGCTAGCACCAGTATTCCTGATTTAGTGGCTTTGTTGTGCATTAGTGTTTATTGTGTGTGACATTTCTGCCTGTGTAGTTTTTGGTTTGTCATACTCTACTCAGAGAGAGGTTATCCAGTGGCACTGACTTCTGGTGCCACCAGAGTCCTTCTGTGAAACTCAGTGAGAGAGAGAATCTGCAAACTACCCATTCCTTTCTTTGTCCATCTTTTTTTGGTTTCCATGTGTGTAAAGCTGTCTGCTGTCATCTCCAGGATGGCAGCATGTATGCCTCACGTTCTTCTCTTGAAGTTCTCCATATTCATTTGCTTTCAATCGGTGCCCTCATCTGACCAGAAGAGATGAGATGTTCTTTTGTTGAGCAGCCTTTTGGCTACAGGCCTGTGTTACTTGTTGAAATGTAGAATATTCTTCATTTACCTCAAAGAAAGCAGCATCAGAGATCTGGGACTGTGATAGATGCTCTGATCAGTGATTTCTCTTCCCAAGGTAACCAGGCAATCAATGTATTGTCACAATATACCCAGGGAATATAATTTGGCACTTGGTCAGAAGGAGAGACCTCTTCCTAGGAAGTGCCCTCTGACAGGTGGGCAGCTCACCTGTCAAAGGACATGGATGGACTCTCACAGGGACAATGGTCTGGGAGCAGGCCTGTAGCTGAGCTTCACAGGCTTCTTATTTCACTCTTAAGAACCCAGATCTATTAACATAGACAGTGACAGCCTACAACCATGTGTGTCAAGACAGAGGGTGAAAAACAGTTTTCAAATTAACCCAGGGGTTTTTCAGACCTTCTGCTGGTCTAAAATTGTTGTTTTCTTACTGAGAGTAGATCCCAGACTTCCTTCCATGGACAGATACTTGCCATGAATGGGAGCTGGAAGACTTCAAGGTTTTATTTTGAATCCTAGAGAAAGGTTTCTGGTGACTGAATAGACAAAATAAAGATAAGTGAAATTTTTCCATCCACTGAGATGTTGATTTTGTCTTTTGTCCCTTCATCAAGTAGGTAGTAAGAAAAGCAGAAGGTGCCAGTTTGTGGTTGTCTTCATCATCCCCTGCAGATCTTATTTATTCTTAGCTCTTTTTAAGTCAAGAAACTGGAATCTACTTCACTCCACACCTGACCAGCACTTCCTCCTTGCAGCAGCAGAAACCAAAGCAAGTAAAGCCCTGGACATGCCTTTCTCACTGTGTGCTTTATTGCAGTTCTAGAGAGGCATCTCTTGACAATGCAAGTACATTCAGTGAATGTCTCCTTCTGGTGCCCTATATCAGGGAGAGATTCCAAATAAATTTTTCAAAGCATTTCTTAAATTTCTTTTAGTAGACCTTTGCCCCTGCATGTTCAGAGTTTATGTGGCATGAATGAAATTTAAACCATTCTGTAGAATCTGTTCTTCAATGTTGTGCTGAGTTCAAGTGGAAGAGTTCAGCAAAATGGAGCTTTGCCCTCCTTCCGTACTTCTTTATTCTTGCTTATGGCTACTGAAACTTCATTCCTTTCTCTCATTATTTATTTTGTCTGTAGATTCATAAGTTCAGCTGTCATAGGCAGATCATTACATTTTGGCTAATCTTCATAGGATGGTTTTAATACCCCTGTCCAAAAACTCATATGCCAGCTCATTCCAGAGCTTGAACAATTCCCAGCTTTAGATAAATAAAAAAATAGTACTTGGGAACTGTCTCAGAGAGTCTCGTAAATCAATCAGTTTGATTTGATTAAAAGCAATTTATATATATATTTAATAATCACAATTTCTACAAGAAATTTTGTACTTTATGGCCCAGAATTCATCTTGGCCTCAAAGCCAACTCTCTTACAAAATTACCAAAATTCCAAAGTTCAAATGCTGAAATGAGTTGTATGCATACATTCTCTGTGTGTGAGAAGACCAGGAATTTTGTATCTTCTTAGCAAAAAGGATAAAGTGCCCAAGCATGTAGAGGCAGCGTTTATTATGCTGATGGATAAACCTGTCTGTTTAAATCTGTTTGCAGAGCACATGGCCATTATTGAATATTTAAGTGCATCTGCATGATGAATGTGTAATGAATTCTGAGGATTCCCAGAGTCGGACTTGGTTCTCTCCCTCATCTCCCCTCCTCTCCCCATCTCTCTTTCTCTGTCTTCCTCTCTCTGTCCTCCCCCAGGGGAGCAGAAGTGGGTGCTGAGCTGCTGATGATCATGGCCATCAAGACACGAGACCTTCAGTTCTCAATGGAGGAAATGAGACAGGCCTTTATTTCCTAGGCAGACAGATTGCTTATCTGTTCACCTTGTCACTTTTTCAGTGGTGAGCCCTCAGGTCCCACACCTTCTGTCTTGCTTTCATCTTCAGCCCACAGTTAACCTCGTGGCTCTGGACGTGACAACTGTGAAGTACTACTGAACCTGTGTACCTGTAATATTTACTCCAGTCCCTACATCTCCAAACTTTCTTTTTTTCCTGTCTTTCTTGCTTACAAACACTGCATAGCAGATTCTAGGAATAATAACCAAGTTATTGAAGTTGTCACATACAAAAAGAAAGTTTTCCTTCCTCTATGCAAATCCGTGTTGCTGCAGCAACTGCTGATGCAGGAATTCCGATCTGCTGAGACGCTCCCTGCTGACCCAGTAACCCATGTTCTAATCAGCCAAGCTGCACTTTTATTTCAGGCTAGGCTGTTCTCCAGCCACTGCATTCTCAGGGTATAAATTTTAGTTAGCTTGAGAAGTTTCTCTCAGGAGGGCAGTTGGTGTTTTGCCATGAAAATAGGAGTCTGGTGTTCCAGAAAGTTCATGTGCCTAAACAGCGCTTGGGGATGGGACTCAGATTTATAATAATGGCCAAACCAAGGCATTCTCTTTTCAGCCAGGTAAGGAATAAAATTGAGATTTTCTTCATATCTCAGTATTAATTCTAAGACAGCATTTAGAAATGTATAATAGGTAAATATATAATAGGTAAGGCCTATTATGCACACCAAAAAGCCCAAATTTCTCCAAATTGCAAGTAGCAATTCAGACATGAATCTTCCAATTATTTCTCTCCACTCTCAAGTCAATGAATAGAAAGAGTATTCATTTCAAACAAACTGAATTATATTTCAATTTTTATCATTATCCTATCATATTTTAAAGGAGGTTTTGTCCTTTTTTTCTCACTAGAAATAAAAATTAGAAATTAAGATTTAGGTAAATCTCAGAATTTGGGAGGTGGGTAAGACTAGTTTTAAGAGAGACTGAAGCATATATATTAAAAGGGCTTTTCGGTATAGCCTAAGAAAGCATAGTGCAGTTTCGTGTTCAGTGTGGTAGGTCAGTGTTTTTACTGGATAATGAAATTACAGTCTGGTCCAGGATGATAAGTTTTATGGATGATGTATTGATTCTTTACTCTCAGATTTTCAGGCTCTAAAAATTGCTGCAAAGAATTGACTGCATTCAGATATAATTTTAATTAGTATTGCTTCAAACAAAAGCTAGATATTATACTTAGATTTGTTTCCTGAATTGCTCTAATAGGAAATGTATTTTTCTGTTTCTTAGTTTTGACATTGCACGGATAGCCACTGTAACTTGAACTTAACCAGTACTGTAGCTGATGTGAAAAGTATTTACCTTAATATTTAAGTTGACAAAGAGCTTGTTTTTTTCCCCATAACTCTTTGGTGTCATTTAAAGGCAAACTCAAATGTAGTTTTGTGCCACCAGTTTCCTGTTTCTTTTGAGAAAAGTAGAGAACTATCTCAAATCTGCTCAAACGATCTGCTTTTTTTTTTTTTTAATAGCAAGATTTTTCCACACAATATAAGTGAATTTGTAAAAGGTAAACATTTTAGTTGAAGTAGATAAGTAAATAAGAAAACAAAGTAAAAAAAAAAAAAAAGTGATGGGCACATGAGCTTGTTTGATGGTCAGAAAATGTGTATTGCCAGTGTGTACAGAGGAGATGACCCATAGATCCAGAGGAGAAAAGGAAGAAGGATAAAGAGGAAGTTAGAGAATGCTGTTTGGTTTGATTTCCTATATAACTTTTATGTTAACTCCTATATTAACAACCTTCTTGCAGAGATAAGGGGATGAGTAATCAGAAAACTGCATGGTCCCCTCATCCTGTTTCTGGAGTCAGTCACAGAACCACAATGAACCAACTGTGAGATAAAAAAGAAATTAAACAGCTGAGCCTTTGCCACCCACTCATATTTAACTTAGTAATGAAATTATCAGCAGAACATTTACCTAGAATTTTCAAGGCTGGAACAATGTAGCTGAAAGGCTTAACAAAACCCAAACATCAGCAGATACTCCTTATCCATCAAGGCTTTTGTGTCCCTTCCATTTAATTAGTATACCTTCATATCCACAAGATTTTAAACTTTTAAACTTAATACTTTTACAAGTTCCAGGGAAATCTGTGAATGTGATTAGGAAGCCAGATATTGCCCTGATGTTGCAAAATACAGAGTCAGAATTTTTCCCAGCAAGATTTTTTTCTGATTTTTGAGTTCCTATCCTACACTGGGTGAAGCATAGTTCCATTTTTTTTTCTGGAGTGTAAATGATGAATAAAGATAAAGAAATTAATCTTTTATTTCAGCTGCCACATTCCCTTTACTTTCTCTCTTCATCTGCTATTTACATGCAAAAATAGCTTCTTAAAAATATTCTACAGCTCAAGATCATCTCCCCACACTGACCTAAAACAATTTATTTCTCCAGTGAGGGAAAGAATGCTTCATTCCTGTTCCTTGAACACAGCTCTATTATCCTATCTTAATGGAATAAGCCACATAAGGAGAGCTTGGTAACTCTTTCTTTTAGCTTTAGCACAATATTTTAGATTATGATTGCTTGTATGATGCAATGAAATTATGTATTTGAAAATTAAATTATAAGTATTGATTTTATGCATAATTGCCTCTTGAAACAGCCTAGTTCATGCGAGTAGAAGTCTCTTAAGCTTTTGCTCATTGCAAAGCAAAGAAAGTAGAAAGATGAAATGATAATTCCCTAAATTCACACTCTAGGAACTTGTGTCTTACACATTTGGAAATCATTCCTCTGTTCAGATTTACCCTTCATCTGTACAATTTACCACTGTAACAAGGCAAAGACTGGAAACCTAGAAGGACATACCCATGCATGTCACAGAGAGCCTGAATTAAGGGCTGACTTAAATGGACACTGAATTTCAGGTGTGTCTTTGGGTTAAGATGTTAGTTCTAGCAACTATTGAAAGCAATTATATAATACATGATAGCTTAGCTTATATATGTACTATTTTTATCACCACAATTTCTTATCTGTGCTCTAACCACTGTGCAGATAAGGATATTTGATAGCTGTCCAATTGTGAAACTGTCTTGGAGGGGAATTCATATTTCCAATGTCCCTCAGTTCCCTCAAATTCTTTCCATCCCTTCCAATGCCAGGAAATAATCAAGTTCTGTAGGATTGCTGATTATATGTGATTTTCCAGCCAAAGGCACTCACATAAATTAAAATAAGAACCTGATAAGTGTCCAAACTACTTAACATAAGTTTTACTCCTGTTGAGGTTCACCATCAATTGCTTTGAGGGAGTGGGAAAATAAAGTTTATGTGATTTTCAAGTACTGGTATACTAGGAAGGCTGCAAATGAGACTTACAATTTTAATGGCTTTACAATTCAGAAAATTTTACTCCTAAAAATCACCCCAAAATTGCATATTGTTTTTTTTAAATGGTCGGTTTAGTGATTCACACTGCGTAGAAGTTGAAGAAGTTTACTCTTAAAGATGTGATGGCAGTAGGAAACTGTGGGTGTGCACAGGCTGCCACCTCCTGGTGCAGCCAGTGGCCTGCACTGCTCGTTTCTTCTGTACTAAGCCTGCGGTGAGCACAGAGTGGTTCGGGCTGGAAAATACCTCTAATATCCCCTCGTCCAACCATTAGCCCAGCCCACCGTGCTCGCCACTAAACCGTGTCCCCAAGTGCCACATCCACACAGCTTTTAGACACTTCCAGGAACGGTGATTGCACTCTTTCATAAGATGAATTTGTCATTTGGGTTTGCTTTCTTTCTAACAGGAATGCGATCAAGTTCATATAGATGATGTTTCTTCAGATGATAATGGACAAGACCTAAGGTAAGATACAGAAATATTTTTTAAATTTTTTTTTAAAGATGAAATAATTTGAGCATTTACAGGAATACATTGTATTTATTTTTACTGTATTTTGGGTGTTTGCAGTACCTACAGTTTTGCAACTGATGGCTTCCATGCAGCTGCAAGTAGTGCAAACCTTTGTCTGCCAACAGGTGTAAGAGGAGGGGTTGACTGGATGAGGAAGCTGGCTTTCCGTTACAGAAGAGTAAAAGAGTTGTATAATACTTACAAGAACAACATAGGAGGTGAGTTCAATTAGCAAACCAGCTTTAAATGCTGATCAGTCTAAGCTGAATGGTGATGAGCTGCACCCAGGGAAGGAGCCTGGGAAGCCACAGAGGGAATGGAGAGTGATATGACTGAACCAATGGCTGTTGAAAGCTACTGACTGTAAAGGCAAAGCCACATGCTGTTCTGCAGGGCAAATGCAGTTGGGGAAACAAAGCAAGCTCCCAATTAGCTTCCACAGAGCCCATTTTCCTCCCTCAGAGCCAGCTGATTTGTTGAACCACTTACACTCCCTCATATTTGCTGTTGTTCTAAGATATTGTATAGTTTCACAGCACGAATTGGTTGTGGATGGCCATTTCCATCCTACATTTTCATGATCTGGTTGGTAACAACACTGTCGCCTAAACTTTCTGCTAGGTACCTGCTAGTCTGTTTTCACCAGTGGATACAAGAAAATTCTATCACTGCCATGCCAATAGGCCCTTTTGTTGACTCTGGAGCTTACACAGTTTTGTCTCCAGTAAGCCCAAATCTCATTTGGGACAAGAACTTCGCTGTTACTGTTTTAATTCATGGATTCACATATGTCTGCACCAGTAAATTGTAGGCAATCAGGCAGCAGACCCAAAAGAATCTGTCCTGGATAGTCCTGTGTGCCTTGCAGAGACAGCCAACCTTCTTCTGAGGAGGGAAATGTGCCAACTGACCCCCTCAACAATAGACTGTGAGAACAGAGAATACTTAAAAGTCTTCAATAATTGCTACAGTCACGTATTTTCACTCTCAGAAGTTTCCTCACCACAGGGTGAAGCAATAGGACCAAAGTGTGGTAGTAGAGGGCTGACTTTCACTTGCCCTACTTTGCCTTTCACTGGGGTTGTGAATAGAGTTGTTACATATTAATAATTCTTGAAACAGTGTTAACCAAAAGTTTACTGTGTTTTCTTGTATCTCCTGATGCATCTAAGATTCTGAAGCTGTGGCATTTCATAAAACCTTTAACAGTGATTAGAGAACAAGTCCAAGAGCATAGCACAGGGAAACACACTGAGAGGAACAAAACATTGCAAATAGAGTGCAGATATGTGGTGCACTGGATTAAGGTTTTTATTGTCTCCCATGTATCCTGCATCTGAAATACAAGCCATCCTTAATGGGCAGGTTTCTTCAGTCATCCTCCACATCTTAGCCTTTTTAATGATTTTCTTAGCCTATCTGTATTTGTTTATTTCAAAAGAGCTGCTAGAAATTATCAGAAGGCAAGATCAATCCATATATTTTTAGATTATTTCACTTCTGATTTTTGAAGACAGTCATCATCACTTGCAGGGTGTGAAAGAGAAGAGGGATACTAAAGGTCAGGAAGCCTATTTCCCTGCTCTTCCAAATCTACCTTTAAAATACGTTGGTTCCAGCAAATTCATGTCTCAACATTCAATAGGCTGGGTATTTTTCAATGTGTGACAATTTATACCCAAAAAGAGATTTTTGAGGACTATCTTTTAAGGACCCACTGAGATATGAGAACATAAGATGTGCAGCCATTTCAGACTCTAAATGCTGTAAAAGGAACCAATTACAACAGGACAGAAAGAGCATGCCATCAGCCAACATATGTATTTTTGTATGTGTACTATCTGCAGAGTCATAAGTAGGGCAGTTTTAAACAGTTTATTCTAAAGTATCTTCTTTTGTGACCATCTCCTTGTCACATGGATCTCCTTGTCACTGCCTCTGATAATTTCAGAATAAGGAATGTGGGAGGAGCTAGTTTAAAAATATGTTTCTGAAAGGAATACTTTGAAATGCAGCCTGATAGATAAAGAAATGCAACTAATCTTTATTATTATCTGAAATACTACTTGATATTCCTTGATATAGTGAAGTACAAATAAAATCTATTATTTCCTGATCATTGAAGACAATAGATTTTCTCTGTGATATTTTTTTCAAGTCATAGTGGAATTTAAAATAGAAACAATGACCATAAACCCTATCTGATACAGAATTTAATTCTATTTTTCTCACTTCTCTTACATTAAAGGACTCCTGGGTCCCGCTAAAAGAGATGCATGGTTGCAATTAAGAGCAGAGATTGAAGCTCTGACAGACTCCTGGCTTACAAATGCACTTAAATCATTATCAATTATCAGCACAAGGTATGTATCTGATTCTGCTGTAAAATAAAGTTTCTATACATGTAATGGATATTTTTTTTCCATTTTAGATGACAATAAATTAGTGCCTTTAAAGAACAGAACAGGTCTACTATGACTTTGAGTAGGACACAGGAAAAGTGGAAAGTAGTTTAATTTATCGTGATTCCAGCATTTACTAAAGATAGGATGAAATGTCTTCTCAAATGTGTGTACATTTAAAGTGTATTGTAGAATTCTGAGGCAGCTTTTAATTTATTACCTTGTGGACAGCATTCTCTGAACTCCACAGCTCTCTGTTCTGTCCTTCAGTGTTTGTGCCTATTTGCAGTGCTACCTAAATACTGTACAGATACCAGAACATAAGGACATTTTTCTTCTGTCCTTCCAAGCAAACCAGTTTATCTTAGTATAAATCTTAAGTTTTCACAAGAGCAAAAATCTCTTTTAACTAAAAGTCTGAGTTCCCAATATTGAGACATTAAACGTATTGTTCCTCTGGAACAATAAAACTGTGAACCTTGCTGCTGCTTAGTAAGCCTTGCAATATGTATCTTACCAGAAATCCTAAAAAAACCTAGTTTTAAACCACAATAAAGAGCAACATTAAGTCATCTTGCTTTCTGATCACGGCTGGAAAAAGACTCCGTGTCAAATGGAAAGAACAAACTTGGAAAGACACAAAAATAATTTCAACATAACAACTTTTACTGTATGCTTATCTCTTAATTGTTTATGTAACAATGTGTGAAGCACTTCAGGAGGAAAAAGGTAACAAATTTGTGTAAGCTGTTGTGTTTAGCTCTGCATTTCTTTCTGAATTGTTACTCTTCAGAGAGACTTTTGCAGTTGAGCATTGGTGGACAAGACAACTGTTATCCTTCACTCAGGATTGTTAAACAATAGTCTTTTGTCATGTCTTCAAGTAATTGTACAACTGTAAACCTTCAGAAGCTACCTGTGAGTCAGCTAAACATTACTGATACGTTATAACAGGAAATTGAGATACATAAAGGTGAAAATAACAGCCTGGGGCCTTGCTTGAAATTTGTGGAAATGCCAGGAGCAAAACTCACAAGCATTTACTTTCAGCTCCATGTCCACATCATGGTCATGCTCATGTTCCAGCCTGTGAGTGCCTGAAGTAGCTCAGCTCTGAGTTCTCTGGCCTGCACAACTTCTCCATTCAAGTTTTCATCCTCACCACTCAGTGCTAGCTTATTAACATGATCATTCTTATCTCTCCCTCTCTTCAGAGTTATTCTTACTCTTGAAACTTGAAGAAAGCAATGCCATTGTGGCAAAAAGTCTAGATAAAAGATAGATAAAAGAGTAAAAAATTATGTTTCTGTATTATCTAAACTCTTTTATTTTGCTGGTAGCAACTGGCAATTAATTGCCAGCCTGAAAATTATGCTTTCAAAGCATTCAAATAACTTGTTTTGGAGGTTGTTGATGGTCTTAAATATCTATATTTATCTATATTAAATATCTGTATTTTACTAGACTTGTCTTCAAAGACCTGGTTTTTATAAACCAGTATGGAATATTTCCTACAAATCATGCCTACATATTTTTAAAGGCTTTCACCAGGGGTTTTATGTACATTTTCTGTAAGTGATGGTGCTGAGCTGCTCTACTGTGTGAATGGAAGTAAATGCTGAGGGATCCTTAATATGCTCTCCACAGCTGGTTCAACTCATCAACATTTGGGTCCTGTTTTAAAACTATTTAAACTTAAACTATTTCTCTCATTTTAGGAGTAATTGTGTAAATGTGTTGGTAACAACAACCCAGCTTATCCCAGCACTTGCAAAAGTTCTACTATACAGCTTAGGTGGAGCTTTTCCTATTGAAAATATATACAGTGCAACCAAAATAGGTAAGAAAGTTATTCTTTCATCCATTCTGACTACAATGCATTACCTTTTTTTTTTTTCCCCAGTAATGGATGTATTCCAAAACACTTCACTGACACTTAGCAGTTTTAGTTATAAGATTTAGGCATTGCATGTGTTCAGATGTGTTTATGTCAAAGAATTCCAAATTCACCTTATTTTCAGTGATGCCTAAAGGAGTAGAGATGCTGATTAAAAGCCTCAGAAGCTCCTCAGTATGGTCCAGAAAACAAACAACTTGCAGAAAAGAATGAAGATAAGTTTTTTGTGAATTCAAATCTGAGCAGAAATTCTGTTAAATTAGCCCCTGCTCTGACCTTCAGCTCTATGCAAGCCAGGCCACAACTTCACAAACCTTTTCCTGAGCCATGGTCTGTCAGTGGTGGGAATGGCAGCTGTTTCTGACAGAACCTGTGCTGCTGGATAACAAAAGGGCTCTACCCCATTCTGTTCACAGCTGTGTCCCTTTTGTGCATTATGACTTGGAAATGTATGGCTTCTGGAAATTGCATGCAAAACTGTAAACCAAGAAAAGCAGGCATTCCTGTGAAATGTGATGCAGCATACAGTGACTGATAATTTTGCAAATTTTACCCATCATCAGTTCAGGAATGCTTCATATCTATATCCATGACAACCTTTATAGCATGGAATGTGTCACTTCATTGAGAAAAGCATTGCAATATGTTTCATAAATGATTTTCACTAGGGAAAAAGCAGTGCACATTCTAGCAGTGTCAGGCAGAACTATTACCTCAGTCATCATTTAATTAAGTTTTTCATTACTACATCACCCATTGTTGCAGATACATTAGAATTAAAATTTCTGCTTTCCTTGTAAGAATATTATTACAATCATAAGGAAATATTTAAATTCAATTATTCATTTGCTAACCTATTCATTTTTGCAGTGCTGCTAATTCCTTTGTCTTAGTGGCTTTCTTGTAATGATTAAGTGATCTAATTTTGCCTGAAACATCTTGGTGTTATTAAGGGAATCCATTGCTTCTTACCAGATTAGGCTCTAAATCCCAAGGTTGGGAACTTTGTTAAAGTAGTAGTAGCAATGTCTTACCACTGCAAAAATCCTCTGTAAGGCTTCACCATAATTCACTTGATAGTTTGAATAAACAGTGCATTGTTTTTCAGGCAAAGAGAGCTGTTTTGAGCGTATAGTGTCCAGATTTGGCACTAACATAACTTATGTTGTGATTGGAGATGGCCGAGATGAGGAACATGCAGCTAATCAGGTAACTTCACTCTGAACTCTTATCTCATTTATCTTCCAGGAAAAGAAAGTTGCTTTGAACGAATAATGCAAAGGTTTGGCAGAAAAGTAGTATATGTTGTAATTGGGGATGGTGTAGAAGAAGAACAGGCAGCAAAAAAGGTAACCTGTCTTCTGAAATGTTGGTGTGATACATAGCTACTAATGCAAGCCTTTCTGTTTGCATTTCTGTCAGTGTTGCACAAAATGACAAATAATTTCAGTCCACAGATGCAAGCCAACAAGAGCATGATGAGATCAGCACTTAGAGTAAAACGAACCATTTGGATTCTAGCATTTGCTTTGCTTCACTTTGGAAAGAAAAAAAAACAAATCAAAACAAAAAAAAATTTTTTTAAACATATGGAAAAATAGTGCTGAAAAAATGTGTGACAAACTTCAAGCAAATGAAAAGACAAACAGAACAGATAGAAAGAGTTATGATATGATGGCTGGGGGGTGTTTTTCTTAAAATGCTGAAATTGGGAATGTTTCAAGAGAAGTGTTACAGAGAATGTGGAAAATATCTAAAGGACTGTGCAATTTTTTATGCTAAGATAGATAAAGATCCATAGTTTACTGGGGCAAATATGATAAAAAGATAATTTGCTTCAAGAAAGACATATCTACTAAAGGAAAAAGAACACAATGTAGAGATTGTGCACCAAATCTGTGTTTCCAAAAAAGAACTGTTTCCTAGTTTCCTCATGATGATTCAAGCCTAATTGCAGCAAATAAGCTTTTAATGTTCAGAAACATCAAATTAGTGATTTGTGCTGTGCTTCCCAATATAGCCCATGGAAGTGTGCAGAAATTGAATTTTTTCTTCACAATGTCTGTACAGGACCAGTTATGTAAATCTTGTTGTGCTAGATGTAGCAAAATTAAGCACTATCTTAGCATTGTAGTTGGAGTGGAAACAAAATGGAAAAAACCAAAATGCTCATTCCAAATGGTTCCTTAATATAGGTACAGTACTGGTGATGGGTCCTTTATAATTTTTGCTAAACAGTGGTGGTTGGATTGTGGGCTTTCTGATTGGGCATGCTTTTTCCTTAACATTGCATGGATAGATGTAGAATTCAGAGAGATGGATGAATATAGCAAATTTCAAATAGATCTAAACACAACATGTGTTTAGAAGTATGTGGTTTTTTTCTGTTTTGATAGCTATTGAAAGAGAATACTGTGTATACCTGCATCTCTCACAGACAATGATGCTTTCTGCAATACAAATTATCTTTTCTTAAACTAGAAATGTGTTATTTTCTTATCCAAAGACATTTCTTTTTCTGCCTGGATGGAAAAAAAAATCTAATTCAGCTCTATTTTGAAGTGTTGAGTGAGAAACATCTTTTCATGGAAGTGGTATAGTCCTTTAAATGATTATTCAGTATTTTGCAGTCAAATAAGTGGAGCATCAAATGATTTCCTGTTAACGCTCCTTTGTACGGGCTTGCGTGCTAACAACAAGCAAGTAGCTCTTACTGAGTAACAGGCATTTTCCAAAGAAATTATTAAGAAAGGCTATCATCTAATTATTTTAACTTCAGTTGAGCTGCTAAGCTCAAATCTGTTTTGGTCTGACTTTTGTCAGTACTTGAACAGCAAAAATCAATCCAGAAACACAGTGGTGTCAGATAGGAGCTGATAATCTCTAACTGTCCTTGTGTGTCATATCCTTGTGTGCCTCCCTGTGTCACAGTGTTCATCTTTCCTGACCTTTTCCCTCCTCTAACAAACACAGCACAACATGCCTTTCTGGAGGATATCCAGTCATTCGGACCTCTTGGCTCTCCATCAAGCACTGGAACTAGAGTATTTGTAACTGTGTTCTAAAGCTGGTGATCCTTATATATATACATATATATATATATACATACATATGTATATATATATATGTATTCATATTTCAAGTACACTGAATTTTTATGTGTGATTCAATGCCTCTGGCTTTACACATATGAATTGTCTTAAGAAGGGAAGAAATATTTGGAATTAAAAATTCCAAACTGAAGAATTCAGATTGCTGAATGGAGTTAAAGCATTAGTGCTACATAAGAAAGCTCTATGGTCTTATATATGCAACGTTTTTAAATGAATTGAAACTGTGGAGGTTGCTGGTACACACCAAGTGAGCCCTGACAGGAGTGAACAAAGGACTCGAACTGGCAAAGCACCAAAACGCATTTTCCAGCCAACAAGGTGGTGTTCAACAACATTCCTCAAAATGGGATATATTCTCAGCACTGAGGTTTGAACCAGACTTTAGCCTACCTAACCCAAAAAATCTGAATTGGAATGCACTCAGACTGTATAATGACAATCCTGTCTAGACGTGTAATTTGTGTAAATTATTGATGAAAATAATTTACTGTGACTTTATTAGCAGCTGATTTTGGAAGTGGATGCAATTTTTCTTTCTTTTTTTGGGGGGTGGGGGCAGGGGAGGGAAAGGGTTATATAATATTGTCTCTTTTATAAGTTTGGCAAACAGAATGTGCATATGATGTGTTGTGCCTTAAAGAGAAGACTGTGTTTGTGTGTTATAATGTAATTTTGGTTAAAAACGCTGTAGATAAACAAAAAACCTTTGTGATAATTTTTGACATGACCAAATTTGAAATTCAAAGAAATCAAAGAGCAGGGCTGCACCAAAGAATTTAAGTATTTGTTGCAGTAAGAAAAAATAATAAAGGAAAGTTTGTGTTTTTATTTGGATTCTGAATAATTCCACTGATTTTTTGAGAAATTTAAGAAAATATTGGGAGGTTGATACTGGGGACCGCTACTTGGAAATGTAAAAGGAGAAATAGTGTTTAACACCTTCAGCATCATTTCTTGATTCTCCAGCAAGAGAACTAAGAGCCATATTCATTAATTACCAACTCCACTGAATGCCATACAGAGAGTTCATCTGCTGTGTATAGCAGAGCAAATTTACACCCAGCAGACAAAATGTTCAGGTGGCATTATTGGAAGGTGAAAATGTGGAGTTAATCCCAGATGGGGAATAAAACACAAGTTCATTAGGAATTAAAAATTACTAAAGAAGCTCTTATTTGTCAGATATGGAAATGATGCTACATGTAGCATATTCAGGATCAACACAAGCTGCTGAAATTGCTGGCTTGATGGCATTGGCCATTTCCGGAGAATAATCCACTTTGGTAAAGAAAACAGCACTTTGGTAGCTTTTCCATTCTGTTCCACATTTTTGTGTATTTTGTTTTGAGTTAGCATGATTTTTCTCATCCATTTTTGATTGCTCAACACAATTACACAGGGACAACCCTAAATGTTTTTGTATCACAAATTTCAATAGCATGTCAGGCATCTGAAGAGAGGATAAGGAGGTGATTTTCATGAAGAAACATTGAGAAATATATCACCTTAACTTCCATAATTTCTATTGAAAGTTATGGTCTGTACAGCAACAATTACCTCGCAAGTTTTGAACATGCTGCCGTATGGAAAATGAGCAAGATCCATATTGCACACAGGACCCTTAACGTTCCATGTGCAGCTTGAGCACTCTGCAATAGCAGCAAGTGGCTCATCTCTCACAGCAGAAGGTGGAAACTACTTTTTCAAATTTTAACACTGTATGTGGAGACACCTAAGGCTGAATGTGCACTGACTGTGTGAAGAGGTATTTGCAAGAGAAGATGTTAAAGGCAAACTCCAGGATGCCTGCACGAGCACAGTAGTCAGCACTGAGGTGAAAATCCTCTGTCTTTGTGCTCTGAAGCAATCATATGCCATAGCTACCAGGCAGTAACTTTGCTCATTTAAACTTTGTTGAGGTTTTTAACCCAGAGCCGCTACAAGTCCAAGGTGAAACTCCTCTATAAATTCATAAAAATGGATTTCATTGCTGTGTTGGAATTGGATATCCAAGTCACCACACAACAAATTAACAATAATTTTTTATCACTGGGCTGTTTAAAGCCATCACATGAGACTCGCTACATATCACTATAGACTAGGTAGATATTTGGGTGATAGATTTGTGTGTCCAAAACAGAAATAATTATGCATACCTTCTTTATATTTTCAGTACCTGGAAATACATGTCATAAAAATCTGTAGTACAGCTTTTTTAGTTTTTCAGGTGGGAAAAAAAGTGTTTCTACTGGAATGCAAAAGAATTTTAACCCATTCTCAAGTTCCAGCATTACATAAAAATCTCAATGTAAAAGATGTGATGAAACAAAAAAATTTGTTTGGTTAACTAGCTTTTTTCTCTTCTTTTTTTTTTTTTTGACATGTCATATTGTTATTTAAATGCATGAAGTAATATTATTTCTCAAGTTATTTGTTCAGGTTTTCAATGTTCTTTTCCTAATCAAATGAAAGAACAAAAAGTAGCCCAGCAACAGCCGTTGGTTCTTATTAAAGGTTTGCAGTGCCTTCTTTGGAGTTGTGCTTAGCTTTCTGTGGCAGATATGGCTCAATTAATATATGGACTTCTAGAGAGGAGATGGAGGCAAAAGGAGGGAATTTTACAGAGTGTGACAAGGTTCTGTGTGCCATCATAGCAGGAGTTAATTGTTAAAACAAGTAATCCACACAAACATGTATCCAAAGAAAATTCAAGGATGTAGCTCATAAGCCTTTGCAATACCAAAACCCTAAAACAAAATTTCAGAGAATTAATACCCTCTTGCTAAGCAAAATTTGCTATTTTTCTTTAAATAAAATTGTATAGTACATGTCTGTCTTGTAGAGAGAAATTAGTCTGATATCTTTTCCTGCATGAACAATACAGAGGAGAAAATAACCAAGGCAGAAACAGTCACACCAGACTGTTCCAGATGGGTCTAAGAAGATTAAACTGAAGGTTGGTCACTTCATTTTAATTCAGAAGCATATTAATCAGAAACTACCTTCCCTTCAGCCTCTCCTCAACAAGATTGTGCACAAGGCCTCATTTGCAAGTATTTTGGGCAAATGAAACAGAATAAATGCCTCTAGCAGTTCTCAATACAGAACCTGAATATTCATTAGGCATTTGAGTGGTCAGCTTGCAAAATACAAATATTGTGTGATTACAGTCGTGGGATAGTATCTTAGACATAACTCTGTGCAGTTCAGTAAAAGAGGGCAGAAACACCTAAAAGTTACACATATTTTTAGATGCCTGTGGATATGGTGCACAAAGATATAGGCAGCAGCTAGCTCCCAGATCTGTTCCCATCCAAATCCAGTGTGAGCAGCAGTGTTTGCATCTGAAGCAGATGCAGAGTGTGTTCCTGTGTAAGCATTGACAAGGGAGATGAGGCCAAATCAAAGTCCTCTAAACAAGCACTCTTCATCTTGGGGCAGATGAAATCTTGCATCCCATCAGAACTGCACAGTTTGTGGAGAATATAGGCTTGACCCACGATAGGTTTTAGCAGTGAAGTTGTATCTAGATCCAGGATTTCAGTTCAAGTCATCTCTGCTTTATAGGATTGACACCTGGCATATGCTGTAAATGAATATGGTATTTAGTATCTCTGAAGAGGAGCTGAAGTGACATTAGCCAAAACCCCAGCAATAGCAGCATTTTGGAGATTTGAAGCCAAGGGTCTCTGTCATGTATTAGCAGATTATAGTTTATTAGGGCCTACCTAATTTAAGAAAAAATGTAAATTAAAATTAAAAGCTTGTAAAATTATGTACATCTTTACAATTTCTCAATAAATACACATGGAAGTGTCATTTTCTGCACTATACAATGTTGTAAGTTGTTTGGTTTGTGGTTGAAAGATGCAGTGTCTCTTACAGGAGCCTAGTGTGAGCTGGGACTCTGACATCCACGCTGCTCTTGTCGCTCATGCCTAGAGAAGCCCTGAGCCCATGTATGGGTCTGGTAGACACTGGCTCACCTGTGGGTTGTGCCTCGCTCCACATGCAGCCTGAGAGACAATTAGCAGCTCTTGCAGTGTCCTTGAGACAAAACACAGGAAAAAACAATTTGATGATGTAGACACGCAGGGTGTGCATTCAAATCCCCATGTCATTCACTCACTAATGTTATGCTAATACCTTTATGGTCGTGGGTTGTTCAGGAGACAGACTGGGCTACTGAGGAGCAAGTGGCCTGTCCAGTTGAAGATCACCCTCGTGAAACTCTAAATGTTTCTGAGAGCAGTACTTTATTATTTTAGTGAGTTGCTGAATTTCATTTTGAGGCAGTCCCTCCACAGTCTGCTAGCAGAGGCCAAAGTGGGATCACAGAATTGCCAGCACATTTGGATGTGACATTGCAATCTTGGGAACCATGTGGAAAGTGGCAGAACCTTGGTAGCCACAGTGATTCAGCCCCAAGAAGCAGCTTGTAAGTAGTGGACTTCTTTGCATGGGGTTAGATTAAAGCATGTCTCTTAAAACACAGTTGTTCCGTCTGTCCATCTGCTGCCTTCTCAGTTTTAGGAACAAAAAGGAAGATCTGTCAAAAATCAAGTGGACAAAATACAAAGAAATCTCATCTACTGAGCAGACAAACCCAGAGTAAACAGTTTCACAATGTCTCCCAAATGGGTTTGCATGTGACTCCAGAGAAGAACCATTCATTCAGTAACATTTGAGAAGAGTGAGATAAAAGGTAGTCAGAAATTGGGTGATAGCACAACATTACCTTCATTTCTCATTGCTGAGAAACTCAGTGCTCCGAATGGCTATCATTGTGCCCTGCACATGATGTTCACAGTGATGAACTAAAGCAAAAATATCATACTGAGAACATTTATGGGTGGACTCTTCCTCATTTGGGTGCAAAAATGATTCTTTATCATTATCTATTACCTATAAAACTCCTCCAGAAAAACGCACTTTAGGGTTGACTTGTTTGATTAATTTTCTTTTTTTTTTTCAAACAAATAATGGATTCTGAACCATTTTGGAAATGTTTATAAGTTTTGGAGAACATTTTTTGATTTTCCAAAAGTGCAGGGAGTAGAAGGAATTCTGAGAAAATCAAAACATCACGAGTTTGTTTTTCCATGTTAGTTTCTCTACAAATTTCAAGGTCTAATTTTCAAAGGACTGAATATCTAACTTGAAATAACTAATAAAAAAATTAGTTAGAAGAATTTGTTTTTCAGGTGGGGAAGTAATGATAGAAAAGAAGAAAACACCAGAAAGTTTCAGAAATCAATTTTTTAAGTGGGCAAGCAAAGAAATTTCTTTGGTACACAAAAAAAATGTTTCTCAAATTTTGTGGATAATTTGGAGATCAGATATCTATCTAAACATTTTAGAAATTTACATATTAGAAATTAGGCTATTAGAAATTCACATAATTCAGTGAACATGAAGCATGAGAGCAGAGGGGTATGAAGGACAGGATTTATAGGAATTATATGAAGGAGTCAGGCTAGACTGGAGCTTTATTAGATTCCATTTTTCTGCCTTGCTCATAGTTTCTGGGAGAATGGATAATTCTCCCAGAGAAGCAGAGAGGCAAATGGAAAGTGATTCATGTTTCCTACACTACTACACTACTGTGCCCTTCACCAGGAAGCACACACTTTTTCTACATAAAAAAAAAACCAAAAACAACAGGAGCTATTTGGAAAATATTAGAAATTGTTGACTCATTGAAACCAAAATGTGTTTTGGGAGTGCACACACCAATGTCAATGAATGGAACATTTCTAGTCCTATTTAGAGAAAGAGTGAATCAAGGGCCCACCACATCAGCCAGAAAAACAGTCTGAGCCATTGCA